TGCTCAGGGTACCCTATCGGATGCCTAAATTGAACCCTGGTCAACTGCATGCAAGATAAGTACACTACCTATATACTACAGCTCTAGCCCTGGTTTTATGAAATTTAACATTGATATATTAGGGATACAGCATTGGGAAACTGTATTAGGGACATAAAAGCCAAGAGAGAGACTAAATTAAGACTTGTTAAGTAATACAACTAATCCATTTTCTTTAAATAATCCTCAGGGATGATAGAGCTGAATGATACATGTGGTTGTGGTTGTATGACTGCAATGTTGTATCATTAGATTCTTGAAGGAAATGTATCATTGTCAGTAGAGTTTCACCTGGTGAATATGAGGAGTGAACTCATGATTCACTTGCATGCTTAGGCTTCTCTGAAAACATCTCTTCGCATGCTTTTGGTATGAGAAGTTTAGAAAGGTTATTGGCTTTCTCGAAGAGCTGAATCACAAAACACTAGATGTTTGTTCCCACAGTCTAATAACCTTGGCATCTCTGTTAGGATTATCTCTTGGCAACATGATAAATACTCTGATGACAGTATTATGCTACCTAAAAAAATTTGTTTCTTCTACAAACTTTCTCATGCTCATAGAAACTCTAAGGTAACATCCTAAAATAGTTCAAGGTTTGCTCTCAGTTTCCTTGGATTCTTGGCCATCTCTCTGTGTCCCAGGTCTAGTAGTCCGAGCTTCTAGTAAAAGCTTTCTCATTCTTCTGCTTATCCTATTAATCTGACCAAATACTCCTCCCCTTCCCATCTCTCCATCCATCCCACGAAAACTCTTTCTGTAAGAATTTAGAAGCATGTATTTTTCTCCTAGAGTGAGTAACATGTTGTTTTATGGTTGACTAAAAGAGAAGATTTTTTTTTCTGGTGGAGATATTACAGATATTTAAATTGAAAAATGCTTTAGTCAAGGTAATCCGAAATTCACACTGTAATGAGGAGGCAATCTTTACACCCATATCTACTTGCCTGCAACAGTTACTTAAATTTTTAGAGTGAAGCACAAATATTAAGGATAATTAGTCTGAATAATCTTTAAAATTAACAGGTTATAAATTATGAGTTTCAATATGTCTAATTGATGGTAAAATATAATAAAATAACACGTGGAATTTTATGTCAAAATACATACAAAATTTTGCATCAAGTTTGACCTATAGGGCCTGGAGTGATAGCACAGCAGGTAGGACGTTTGCCTTGCATGTGGCTGACCCGGGTTCAATTCCCAGCATCCCACATATGGTCCCCTGAGCACCGTCAGGAGTAACTCCTGAGTGCAGAGCCAGGAGTAACCCCTGTGCATCTCCGGGTGTGACCCAAAAAGCAAAAAAAAAAAAAAGATTGACCTATAAATGTATCATGTGCTTGATAGTTGCAGAGGTAACCCAACTGCTGATCGAGAGATGATGCATCTTTCTAATTTGTATATTCTTTCCTCCTTTCCTGGCAAAATGACATGGAAAGAGTAATTGTGGAATAACTATTGCTTTCTCATTCCAAGTCGTGAGAATAGTGATTAAGTCATTTAGGAAACAATTAAATCTTAATATGAACCAAGTGCTGCTGCTGTCTGAGTCATCAGGAAGGCTATGGGGGTTGTGGAACTCTGGTATTGAGGTTTGGACTTTCTTTTCTCTCACTTCCTATGACACCAATTTTGCTCCGGGTAATCACAGACACTCACTTGGTGATCTTTGCTTCCCACTTTTGTATTTTTAGCCTTTTTCCCATTTAGTCTTCTATTTTTTAAACTTTGATCTGTTTCTCACAATTTAATTCCCATTGATTGACTCTTTCCCCTTCTTCTGTGAGACTTCCTACAATTGGCAGTCCTTAATTTGGTTGTATTACCTTTTATAACCTTCTCTGATATGCGACCATCTTGTTTTCTTAACTCAAACTTATGTAATTGTTCTTATCTATGCAAAATAATATGTCCCCAATCTGGCCATCAACAAAAAAGGTGTTGTTATACTAGTTAACCCTACAGAGCACTTATTATATCAAGGTAACGTGCTAAGTATACTTGAAAGACATTATCTCATCTGTTCTTCATCAAAGTCTGTGTCAGTTAGGAATGTGATTTGTCTGCAACTGACAAAGGGCACAATATATCGCATGATGCTCGTATTCATATAGACTTACTCTTTATCACAAGACAATAGAAAAGGAACAAAATATGGAGGTAGGTGACTTTCAGCATTGACTTAGGAGTCCTTTTATTGTTAGTGCTCTAGTGTGTCTTCTCTGCAAATGTCTTTTGTTATCTCTGCTTGTGAAATGGATGTCACATCTCTTGGTCACTAAGCTTACTCAATGTCCAGTAGGAGAAAATGGTGTAGGGAGGCTGTTTTTGCATATCTATCAGTAAGGAAAAATTCCCCCAAACATTTCCCAACAGACTTTCCCCACATCTCAATCACCAGAATTGAATTGTGTCGACACCTCCTAGACTAGCACCTAGGTCTTCTTTCTGAAATCAAGAAATATCTTAATACTACTCAAACAAAATCAGGGAGAAGGAGACCAAAAGTTGATTGCTATGGTGCAGGCAAAGAATGGCACCCATCATATAATATTATTCATGAATTAAAGCTCAGAGAGGTAGGTAACAAGTGTATAAAAAAGGGATTCAAACCAGATTTCTCTGTCTTTAAAATTAAATCCATGACTTTGTTTATAACAATATAGGGATTTTTTAAGAGAGTGTTAGCATCTTAATTCATCCAGAAATTATTTGGTATCAACTTGATGCTCAGCATTCTTTTGCTATGAACAGCAAACCAAGAGTAGACTATTTATGGATAGATATACAATATGGATAAAATAACTAGAACACATAGGACTTAACTAGTTTGTGAACTCCGCTCCAAGTAGCAAACGTTCACTGAGGTTCAGACATTCACATTGCTGGGTTCAGATTTCACAGAAGCAGAGGTATGTTACTAATTCCTTGCAGATTTAGTTTCATGGGAAGAAGGAAAGATGATATTCCTGTTAAGAAGACTGGCTTGAATGAAAACAATAAAGTGGAAAAAGCACTGCTCTCAAAGTGACAAATACAAAAGAGAGGGAGTGAAGTTCTAGGTACATTTGATCTCAGCACTGTTGAGTCCTTAACTTATGGTTAAATAATCACTGAACAGACTTGTTACATAGACATTCCCTGAAGTCAGTCCTCCAGGAGACTGAGACTGAAAAGGAAAGATTTATACCAGCAATCAAAAACATCTCATGAGTACTCATTGAGCCAGAGAACTGGCCAATGTCACTTCTGATACCTAGGGACGTCCATTCCAGTAAAAGGGCCAAGGCTTCCTGAAAGTGTCCTTTGGTCTACTGGACAAATTTAGAAGTTGAAAGATCAGTGTTGAGAGTGGATCTCCTGCTCTTCATTATTGTTACTATTGTTTCTAATTGATGGAACACTGACTTACATCCCTATGTTGGCAGTAGACATGGCTTTATAAGTCAGTTTGTCTATAGACTGCACAGTGCCCAAAGTCTAGTCTCCGTCTTTCGCCGTGCACTTGGCCTCTTTTACCTAATTCACACCCTCCTAGCCCTTCCCTTCTGGTAACCATTATTTTGTTCTGATTTCAATGTTTGTTTTTGCTTTGGTTGTTTACAAGTTCTGTGTCTATGTCTTCCACTACTAGTGGCATCACACTGTTGCCTTTATTCTGCCTTTATTCATCCAACCTAATTTAACTTAACCCTCTAGGGCCTTCAGGCTGTCACAAATGGCAGTATTTCTTTTTCTTTTTTATAGCTGGGTAGTGTTTCATTGTATTGGTATATTTATCACATTTTCTTTATCATTTATATAATGCACCCTTAGATCGCCTGTATACTTTGCCTATTCTGAACAATTCACCTCTTTTTTCCTTACATGACCTGAGATAATTCAGCTACTAAATGTGTATATACATTTATAAATATATATGATAAATCTCTATCATTAGACTTTTGATCATCATGCACTCGAAAGTCAGCTCAGCTCTCCGTGCAAAGACACGCAGCTCTCCACAGCACCTGAGCAGAAATGCGTGCTTTAGTTCTCTTCATATCTGTCCCACTGCATATTTATGACACTGGGGGTTTTATCTACAATAAAATTGTCTTTACAACGAATACTTTTCAGTGAGCTCTAGCAGTGCAAATTCAGACTCATTTTTATTATGCCTATCATGCTTATTTTTGGTCTTCCATTTCCTTGGGCAGCAGTATATAAAAATCCAGTGAGTTTCTTCATCAGCTTTATGAGATCATAACTTCCAATCAACACTTCAGGTTTATCCAGACTTCTGAATCAACTTAAATTACATGGCAACTTTTAAAATTGTTTAAAGAAAGGAAAATATCTACATTTTGAAAAAGGACAAAAAAAACTTCTCTGGGTGTAGTTTATGACAAAATATTAAGGTAAGTGTGTGGAGGGAAACCAGATTTATTTATAAAATTACACATAGTTGAGAAAAATGCAAAAAGGTTAAAAGAGAGATGTCAGAGAAAGAAAAACAAGTAACTTTATCTTTCTTTTCATTTTCAAGGAGTAGCTTTTGGGCAACGCAGACTCAATAGACAGCATTCCACTGTCATTATTTTCTAAAGAGCCCACAGGCTGAAACATGGAGAAAATATTGTAACACTTCTTTTACAATAAGTCCTCTCTCTCTCTCTTTCTCTCTCTCTCTCTCTCTCTCTCTCTGAGCACAGGCTTCCAGGGTGCTGATTGAAAGTGGGACTGACAAGCTAAGGTAATGCCAAAACCAACGTTTCTGAGTGACATCATTCTCCTAACAAATTTCCTAAATGGCGCATTAGTAAACAAACATTTCTATTCTTGTGATGTTTTTCTGAGTAAAAAGTTGAATCACTCAAAGATTAGAGAGAGGAGAAAAAAAAAAAAACTCCGTGGGAGGAGCCAGAGCTTTATAAGACCAGTCAGCATCTCTGCATCGCAAATACCTCTGAGGACCATTCCTGTCATCCAGCACAGCAGAGAATAAGGTATGCCAGTGAATTCTGTGGTCTGCTTAGAAAACAGGCAAATCTTATTTTCTGCTTCCTTTGTATGGGGATTATCTGTACAATGAATCTAAAATGTGTAATGTTTCAGAGTATTTAGAGGTGATTTCATGCTTAGTTTTTCTATGTATTTTAGTTTAAGTTTGAATTTCATGTATATATAACATGAAATTTTTCAGTCTTGGAAGCTAGCAAATATCTGCTTATTATTAAGCAAATCAAAGTGTACTTTTCAGTGGTGATTTCAAACTTTGGCAAGTGGGTTAGAGATGAGTATGTTTTTAACAAGCAATTATTGGATGGAAATAGATCAATCAACAATACTAATAAAAGTAATCTAAGTATTGTATGTAATATAATAAAAAAGAGATAGTTTGGCTTTTATTTACAAAAAAATCAAAACTTCAGAAAGTGAGCAACGGTTTGGGTTGGAGCCATCCAATATAGGAATACAGTTATTAAATAACAAATTCCAAGAAATGAAAATGTATTGTAAGGTCTGGCACTAACTAAGAGCAGAAATTTAAGAGATAAATTTATTGAATAAAAAAATCAAATGAATTCTAAGATGACTAAAGTAATACTTTAGTCACTAATTTAAAACCCCACAAATAATTATGCATTATGAAAACTGTCAAATAACAGAAACTTTTTTTTCTGTATGAGGGAAATGTAGTAAACGTTAGTGAGAAACTTCTTTGAGACTATTAATTCATACTATTGTTTTGGGGATCAATTTAAAAAATATTTGTAGCCTGAAGTCAGAAAAACATTTTTAACTCTACTGCAAAGTCAAATCTAACATCTGGGGCCAGCAGGAAGCGGGGCATCTTGTACCTGGTGTCACTGTCTGGGATCTTGGATATTGGTGCCAAGTTTCAGTGGCACGTTGGCTAACAAACATTCCAAGAGAGAATGCGGGCATCATGGCGTTTCCATCCCCCCAATGATAATATTAACTTTCATTAGGAATATAATATTTGGGAGTTAATGTCATTGCAAAATTTACTTTAGTATTTGGAAATTGACAACAGGCAAAACCTGCCCTGGAAAATTATCATTTTTGATGTCACTCTATGACTTCAGTTTTAGATAGTCTTAGACAGAGTACCATCCAAATGTAAGCTACAAATTTGTCTGGGAATCAGGAATCATGGGATGTATTATATAGGCCTTCATAAGTTTCTACATCTATCTAAGGTTCTTGAGCTTTATTTGAAAAGCCTGTAAGAAGGCATTAAACCTGGGACCAGGGACCTGGGACCCATTCTAGACTCTAAGACTAGCTAGCTGTGCAATCTACATATTCATATTTTCATTTGTATAACAGGGACTCCTAGGTTTTACTGGACAAACAATTATGCAAATTAAACAAAATGACATGACTAAAGCAATTTGGCAAATTCAAAATAAGCCCCAGATATTATTATTATTATTATGTTAAATGCAGCTAATCACGCTTTATGGATAAGGTTATTGTTAAAAGATGCAATGAACCTGCAACTAATTATTCTGATTGATTTTTTAAAAATGAAACATTAAACTGTGCTGATAACTTTTAATTTAAAGCTTTCTAGCAGCATTACACAATGGCTACGTTGTTCTTTCTGTTTCCTCTTCTCAGCATTTCTTAAACCATAACTTGCCTAAACTCTTACACATGAAAGCACAGTGACACATCCCAGGTGAGGGCCCAGAGAGAGAGCTTAGTGGCGTGCATGTAGTGCATTCAGAGGCTCCAATGTGATCCCTTGAGCATCTGTCAGCAGTGACTCCCAAGCAATGAGCTGGGCGTAGACACTGAACATAGCTGGGTGTGGCTCCCAGACCAAAAGACAGCTGAGATACAGATAGAACCTTGGGGAGAGTGGATTTCTAAAGCTCACCTTGACCTGAATCCTTGCATTCTTACACAGGAACTCTGTGAACTTAGCAAAGTTAGACAACTCTCTGAGTACTAAGGTCCCAAATGAAGATACTAGTATCTTCAATACTAGAATTAGGAGAACAGAAGAGGTGAGAGTTCCAGAGACCAATTTGACTTCATTGATGATTTTTATCCTAATAAAATGTATTTAGGTAGCACTGTACATGAGAACTTCTGATGCAACTTGCCAGCCTTTCCTTCGAAATGAGAACTCATTCATGGGGTAGGGAGAGAAGTGCTGGCCCCAGCTGGGAGGACCGGCTGAGTGAGCCAAGCCAAGAGCTGAAGGGCTGGCCTCATCCCGGGGACTTCCCTTGGCCTGTCCCCAGCTCTGGAAGTCACTATCACAGCTGTGTTTCCTGTGGGATCACGAGAGTCAGCATCATTTGGTCTATTTATACATTTTAATAATTATAGGGTGTGTTTTAAATCACCATGAAAGCAAAACATAGATTCTGAAAGATGATCATTGGTAGCACCAACAGATACCCACACATACCCTGGGTGTGTCCCAGCATTCAGTGACATATGGAGCCTCCGGGCCGTGAAGGGTGTGTCTGCCATTAATCTTCAGAGGACTGAGTATGTGTGTATGTGTGTGTGTGTGTGTGTGTGTGTGTGTGTGCGTGCGCGCGCACGCGTGCGCGCACGTGTGTGTGTATGATCTATAGCCCTAGAATCAGCCTCGCGGTGTTACCTGACATTAACTTCCCCTAAGGGGGTATCAGGAGGAAGGTGGCCCTTTCAGTGTTCCTAGTATTGAACTTGCTCCTCAGTCAAGGAAACAGTTTTGTTGCAAGGCTGTGGTATATGTATACGTATAGGTTAGACCAAAGAGGAGGAAGGTAAGATTACCAATATTCAATAAAGACTCTAAGTCATTTCCAGAAGCAGGAACTTTCAGCAAAGGTTTTTCATCTCACTTGGGCCCACTAGAATGTCTATCTGTGTGTGTGTGTGTGTGTGTGTGTGTGTGTGTGTGTGCGTGCGTGCAGCATAACCACAGGTCAGCCACCTGCCTTTGATTCCTAGTCCCACCCAGACAGTGGCGAGACAATGATGATTTTTTCTTACCCTTTTGAGTGACAATCTCTTGAAAACACAATAGCAATATCCTGCTCACGAGCTTTTCATGAGGGTTAAGTGTTTAGTACACGTTAAACACTTAGAATAGCATCTTTTACATCCTTTGCCTTTAATAAATAAGAATGATTTATTGTCATCACTGTCAATGTCTTTATTATTTCTCTCTGGAATGCTATAAGGTATTTCCATTTCTCTGTTTTTCACTATATCTCAGGGTTGGCTACATAGTTTTCATGATCCAGTGCAGAAGGAAAATGTGGGGTGTGTTTGAAGTAGTTAAGAACTGCATGTGGTGAGAGCAGATCTTTGTACCAACCTGGGGCCCTTTGACAGCACCAATAAGCTGAACATGACACGGTTCCTGCTTGACCTCTTTTTTTTTCATGAAGGAAGAACAGAGAGAGAACCATCGTCCCATGCAGAGTACACCCTGTACTACTCTAATGCCACCACCCAAAACACTGAGTCATATTTAAAGGTTGTTTTTTTAAAATCCCTTATTTTCCTTTTAGGTCAAGATGGAAGACCTTTCTATGGCAAACACCATCTTTGCCCTCAACTTCTTTGAGCATCTGGCAAATACAAGTTCCAACCAGAATATCTTCTTTTCTCCATGGAGCATCTCATCCACCCTGGCCATGATCTACCTGGGTGCCAGGGGTGACACTGCAGACCAGATGGCCAAGGCGAGTTTCTGTTCAAACTCTGTGGTACTTCTAAATGGATCCTGAACGGACTTTTCTCTAATTCCTGAACAGGCTTGCTCTTATTTTATACTTGTGATTATCTTGACTGCTGCAAGGTCAGTAATTATCTCAGATCATCATGATCCCAATTTCTTAGCTTCAAATCTTCAGGGTTGGAACAATAGCACAGCAGTAGGGCATTTGCCTTGTGCACAGCCAGCCTGGCCGAGCTGGGTTCGATTCCTCCGCCCCTCTCGGAGAGCCCGGCAAGCTACTGAGACTATCTCGGTCGCGCGGCAAAGCCTGGCAAGCTACCTTTGGCGTATTCAATATGCCAAACACAGTAACAACAAGTATCAAAATGGAGATGTTACTTTGCTCGAGCAAATTGATGAACAACGGGAGAACATCATTCACATCATTCACATCATTCAAATCTTCAGGAGAGCTAAACCAAGAAAACACTCAACTGGAGACAGGGCAGGGCTTCTGGAAGTTTCTTATCTTGCAAAGCTGAAAATAGTCAATAGCTACTACATCTTACATTTTAGTAGTGTGGTGCTTTTCCTTTCAATGTATTTGGTATGCTTTCTCTTTTGGGAGGGATTTTAAGACAGCTACTCTTGAATAGTTGGGAGGACTGCTACTGTGAGTGATGGTTTTCCCAAAGTCTTCTCAGGTTTTGCCACTCCTAGTTCAGGCTCCTTCCTCTCTATCACTGTCCTCTCACACGTTCCTCTCTCTCACTTTCAGTGTTTCCCCACAATTCTTTCTAATATTTTTAAAGAGAGTGTCATAAAAAGAAACATACATGAACCAGAACAATGGTCAGTGTCGCCTCGGAGATGCAGCCAGAACAATGATTGCTCAGCAGGTCTTAGCCAGGTTATCAAGTCCATGAGCTCAGGTCAAAGAAATGGGGCCTGACTTGATGGTTGGCCTGCAAAATCAAAATGAAAGCTGGTATAGGGATCAGCCTGGTGAGATATTTATGAGCCAAGGCCACTGGATTCCTGGAAGGAAGTGAAAGAACTTGAGTTTGATGACTGTAACCAGTTTTCTGAGCCTGGTGTCTTGAAAATATTTAGAACTACTTCCTCTGTGCACTGTGACATGGGTATGGGATGAATCTGGCGCATTAACAGTTATGCACAGGCTCTGGTTTCTCTGAAACACACATTATGCTTTTGGCCACACCAAAATGCCACAGGCAACTTTCGTGCTTCCCATGAGAACTACACTTTAAGTGTGTGTATCTATGTCTTATGCCAGTACATGGTGACCCATTTAAGATAGGCCTTGCCTAAAGTTGTTTGCTGAGGGAACATTGGCCAATTTTCCTGTTGGAGGAGAAGGCATGGATGCATCACTGCTTGTTTGTGGCAGTTTAAGCACCAAACTTACAACAAAATTCAGTTGCTCAACGCTGATAGCAGCGGCTATATTTTGCAATAACTCCTTCCCCTTTGTTTTCTTCCCTTAAAAATGAAGATAGTGAATTACATTGACAATGTTAGGCAACATTAGAACCTATAGTTTTCAGATGTTAAAGAAACATAAGCAGTATCTGAGGACAAAATGCTAATGGTAGTGCTTTCTCAAAGTAAAAGTTTTGATTTTTATGTGAAGGGAGAATGAACTTATTGATTAATCTGGCACAATGCATGCTTTGTCTAAAACATGCTCTAATCCATTGGAGACACTCCAATGATAAAGGGCTTATATAGTTTTCTTTATAACTCTTCTGCATGTGCAAATATTAAAATGAAATTTAAAAAATACTAGAAAAGAAGAGAGAGTTCTCTTAGGCTTGGAGAATCAATATGGTCTTTGGGGACAGACCCATTTGGTTTGAATTGTGACTTGGCCACTTAGTATGTGTGTGAGTTCAGGTGTTTATTTTTCTCCGAGACTTAGAATCTCATCAATTGAAAATGAAAATGTATAATGTGGAAGGAAGAAATAGGTATTAGAGGTAGTTGATAAAACATCCAGCAATAGTGTTTGTTGTAATTGCCATTACACATTTATGCCTTAGCTGGGAGCCTTTCTAAGAATTTTTAAAGACTTAGCCTACTTTATCTTAAGTAAGATAAAGTCTGTGAGGGAGGTGCTGTGATTACTGTATTCATATTGCAGAGACGAATTTAGGGCAAGAAGAGGCCACATAGCTGGGAAATGATGTCATTGGTAAAAGTGGTATTGCTATAGTGAAAAGAAAGAAAGAAAGAAAGAAAGAAAGAAAGAAAGAAAGAAAGAAAGAAAGAAAAGGTATACAGTCCGACATAGTGTAGTTCTATTAGATACTGGTGTGCCTTCAAAGAGTGTTTTTCTTTTCCGTGTGCTTACACTTGGAACCAGACCACAGGACTCTCTCTCTCTCTTCCCCAGGGTAATCTTTATCTCTGGTTAAGAGGTTCATAGTTTCTCAGGAAAATGTAACCATTACCTCTAATACCCATTGTAGGTGCTACAGTTCAGCAGGGTTGGAGTCCGTGAGGCCATCCCAAAGCCTCCCCAAAACATCACTAGCTGTAAATTCATGCAGCAGATCAAGAAGGGCGATTATCCTGATTCTGTTTTGCAGGTAACTCATTTGCTCTTATTTCTTTGCAATTTTATTTCTGAAAGCTCCCTCACTTAAAGCTATAATATTAAACTGGGTAAGAATCTAACACAACTGTTCCCACCCACAGAGCAAGAACTTGGATGGACGGTCCTCTGTAACCCACAATCAGCCAGTAAGTAAGGGAGGATCCTGGGTAGGGCTCGTACTTCATGAATTTTAGGCTGAGACTGTTCTAAATTTGATTACACAACTCTGCCATTAGTTTAATATATAACTCATTTTGAAACCATGATAGATACTCCTAGAATACATATGTCTATTTGTAGATTTCCATAGAGAAGAATGAATAAAGAGCAAAAAATATTCTTGAGAAATGGGAAAGATTATGACCATTGGTCACAGGAGACCAATGACCCTCAGTATTACTTCATTATCTGTCTTCCTATCCATCTCTCTACCACTGATGCATCCTTAAACCTGTCACCCACTTATCTATCCATCCATAATCCATCCATCCATCCTTCTACCCATTATCTATCTATCAATCTATCATCTATTGCATATAGATGTTCTTTTTTGGTAACCCACCTTATTAATCACACGCCTAAGTTATTAGAAAATGTCTTCTATAACATTTATGAGGGGTAGTTGAGCCCCATATTTCAAAAGCCATGCTTTCTTCTAGGTTGTTGATATTTCTGTTCAATTCAACCCATTGGCATAACAAAGTTGAAACTAATCAAAAGTTAGAATGTAATATATCACATCCATATCAGAGGTATATACTAAGACTCCACTAAAGTACCTGGGAAAAAGAATTGTTCTGTGGTATTTGAAAAGATCACATAAAGACATTGTTTAATAGACCTGTGTTGTATAAAAAGATCAACTTCCTCTGTCTTTAAGGCTCAGGTTGCAAATGAAATCCACTCATCATTCCGTTCTCTCAGTTCTGCTATCAATCCATCCACCGGGGAATACTTGTTGGAAAGCACCAATCAGCTTTTTGGAGAGAAGTCTGAGAGATTCAGGAAAGTAAGTGAAACCTAACACTGGAATGACGGTTCCCCATCTGGAGCTCACTTTCAGAGCTGTCTCTAAGAAAGCACCCGACTTGCTGTACTCTCTCCATCCGCAACACTTCTCTCTTGGATTCATCACACAAGTGTCAGAATTCTGCACAGGTTCCTTGCTGCAAAAATTTCCTGTGAGAGCAGTAAATTAGAATACAAATGAGTTTCAGAGTCACTCTGGGAGTTTTCCTAGCCCAACTCCCCATCTTAATCAGGGCCTGTAAAGAAAAGAAAGCAGGAGGGCGGGCGGGTAAGGGGCCTTCAAGCTCTGACAATTTGCACCCTGATCTCTTACAACTTTCACAGTCCCCAGAGACAACCTTTTGGGTCTCAACCTTGACAAGTAGCCTAGAATTTATAATCATAGCTAGATTTGCTCACTGTGTATATAACATTTGTTATTTTCCTTGATTTCAGGAATACTTGCAGCTCTCTAAGAAATATTACTCTGCAGACATCCAGGCAGTTGACTTCCTAAAATGTTCAGAAGAAGCCAGAAAAAAAATTAATTCTTGGGTCAAGACTCAAACAAAAGGTAAAAGAAAAGGAATACTTTTAGAATTTTACATTTAGAAAATTCTTGTCTATAGTTCAAAACCATTTAAACTTTACCCTTATTCCCCTAAAATTAATTCACCCAGCTATTTTGTTGATATAATATTACTTGTTTAGCTGACAGATGTTTTAAGTTAGAAAAAAATTATTTGAAGTCTACTCATACAAGTCATATATTCAGCACTTATATAACATAACTTGCATATATTTCCTGAGAATTGAAACCAAGAGGATGCAGATATTTCACAACATGGGAAATATCTGTGTTGAGCGATTTGTGCTTCTATGTTCACTGTTATAGAAACAATGGAAAAAAGTTTGACCTTCAGTGGAGTAAGTGCTGAGACCTCTGGGAAGGAAGGACAATATTTACTCCCATTTCTCTTTCACCAATCTCTACTGTCAAGTTCACTGTGTCTCTGCTTCATCGTTTCTTGATTGTCTAGACAATGTCTACCATTGTAATTCATATCCTTAATTATTTTATTCGCTCTTTCCTTTCTTTCTACTTTTTACAAGTAATCAAACTTAAATCATCCGCTTATTATTACTGCGCTCAATCCTCCAATGAACATATTTATTCACTATATAACACATAGGGAGAGAAGGATAAACACGGCAAACCTAGAACCCTGACCTTACAATCTTGGGTTAGGCATAATCGAAAATTATCATAAAGTGCTTTAATGTGGAAGGTAGCAACTCAATATGGAAGAACATAACTGTCTGCCTCTAGGGCTCTGGGAGAGGAGACTTCCTGATATACTTTTGTAGTGATGAAGAGAATATGTTGCTACTGGTCATGGATTTGGACAGAGTCCAAATTGAAGCACATAGATGGGCCAAGGTCCAGATGAGAGAGACTTTGCTCATGGAGGAGAGGAATGGAGTTTGGCTGGCCTACAGTATGGAATGCTAATGGGAGGAGATGATACTAAAGACATGAAATGGCACAATACACTTATTATTAAATCACAGTCATAGTTACAAAAGGCCCTAGTGACTTCCTACTGTCCTCAGAGAAGGAAGAAGCTCTGTATCTTAACTTCTGAGTTCTTAATAATACAACACACCATTCATGAGAGTCATGGAAGATCAGGGCTCTCTCCTGAGCCCTGGTAAATGCAACATGTGTGTAGCTACCTGCTTACTCCCTTGGATTCACTCATAGACTTCAGAGTTTTCATAATACCCAAAGTGCTGGAGGTTCCCTTCTCCAGGCCATGTCAAGATCTCTCTCTCTCTCTCTCTCTCTCTCTCTCTCTCTCTCTCTCTCCTTGACTTTTCCAGTGCTATAACTTCATGACTCATGTCAGTGATCGACATATTTGACTCTGAAATATCACTGAACTGACTTCATTTAGTTGCTTTGTAATATCCTCTAGCCTATAATTATTTGAAAGGAAGGCCAGAGTGATATGCTTTTCCTGTGTCTTCACACAATTTAGTACAGTCTTTGTTAACAGAAAATCGTTCCTCAAGATTTTCAGGTACAACTATGGGTCTTGAATAAATATTTGATGATAACAATATGTCAATGGACTACCTTGAGGAAGAAATAGAGATTATTATGCATATATACTTCATAATAATCTAAGTCATGATGTCATAAAACACTTTGTTAGGTGTCTTATAAATTTGGGAGTTGTTAGGATTGGAACATTCTTTTATTCAAAGTTACCATTTTGTCACTGTGGACTGAATTCCTGAAGGGATTTTCTGATTCAGCCAAAATCTCATGTTTTGTTTTTCCCTATTAGTGATAATGAAGTCGCCCTCTTCTTGAGTTCTTATTCGTAAATTAGAATTATTAATTATATATTTTAAAAGTTTGGTAGCAAAAAAAAGATTTTCATTTGACTTCTATGTTTATAGCTTGTTTCAAGTACTCATTTGACAACTTGGTTTCCTACTTGCAATAATAGGGAAAATTCACATTGAACGAAGAAAATTTTATAGAATAAAAAAATTGTTTTGGTTTTATAAGATTTTCCATTGCTTTAGTTCTTCACATCTATTATGGATTTATAAATTATTTCTAAAATATGGACAAACCACTGACTCAGAGGAAGCAGTGGATAAGAAAATTAAAGGAAGTGAAAATAAAACAAAAGCCTCAAATTAGAGAGACATGGGGACATTTTGCTTTTCAAGAACAAAATGAATTGTTTTTCTCCATAATCATTGTGGTGAATGGCAGCAAGCCATTTGCTTGTATGGCCAGAATGCCAAGTATCATTTGGACTGTTTTTTTTTTTTTTTAACCAAATCTTAAAATAACTTGAGAGAATTTTCCGGGGCTTTTGATGTTTTCGTTGCTGTTATTGCTGTTCTGATAAAATACTGGCTTTATCTAGCACAACAAAGCAAAATGAAACAGCAATAGATTTTAATAATAATCAAAAGTTTTATATTCCAGGGAATTATATAGAAAAAGAGATGAAGTTATAGTAAATGTTGTTTTTGTTAGATTCCTAGATCTGTCAGCAGGATGGAAAGGTGGTGATGATAGAGATGGAATTCTCACTTGTTTATGGCATTGTGACTTTAAACAGACTGTTAACATCTCTCACCATGGCATTATTTCATAATAAATGACACAAAGATATTTCTCTTAATAGAGCATTAGGTAAAATAGTGTATGTAGTGGTCAAAACAGAGAGGGTTTCCTTTTTTCTATAAATGTCCAGTTTCTTAAACTAACCTAAAAAATCTATCACATGAAGACAATCATTCCTGAGAATGTTTTCTGGCTCCATTATTTACTTCCTTTCATGCCATAGTACTTTGTATTATTCACTTCTATTCTAGAGTATTATTTTACAACTGATTTTGAATTTGTCCTCCAATTTTCCAAGTCCCTTATAGAACTATCTTTATTTCCTCACAGATCTTTTGTGTCTGTGCTACTCCTAGAAAAGTTATACAACTTCCAAAAATAAATTTCTTTTTTTTAAGTTTTCATCTTTAATGAAATGACTGGAAATAACATACATTTCCATGACACCCATACTACAGTGCTCAGAGTCACAGTAAGATACACAGAATTACATCCATAATTATGATGGATGTCAGCATTTCAAGCAGTAATTTCTGTTACATGGCAAACAAAATCAAGATCCAGAAATAAATTTCTAATGAATGTACAGGTTATCTGATCACATCTAGAAGGTGCAATAAATGAAGGCACTATTTTTTTCCTTAAAGATCATCTATCACTCTTTTCAAAAAATAACTTCATATAACTATAAAGCTTTGATTAAAAAAATGTACCAATGGGGGGGGAAATGTAACAAAGAAACTAAAAATATCCTTTTTAAGGGCAGAACTTTAAATACATTTATTTTTCAAACCAGAGAAATTGAGTCTGTTTTTTCCAGCACTTTGCATCAAGAGAATGACTTGTGATGAAAACTCAACATATCTGTTGAGTTTGAAAAATGCTTGAGTTTGATGATGACACAAAATGTCTGAGAAAAATATGGAGATCACAGTTCTTGGTCATGAACCCTAAACATGTATCATATATTCTGTAGGCAAAATTCCCAACTTACTGCCTGAAGGTTCTGTTGATGAAGATACCAAGATGGTTCTCGTGAATACTATTTACTTCAAGGGAAAGTGGAGAACTCCATTTCAGAAGAAGCTGATCGGGCTTCCTTTCCATATCACCTCGGTATGAGCTAACAAGAAGACATTTCTTAACAGAATTTAGAGCCTTAAACAAAACAGAGAAAGAAAAAGCATGGGTCACTAATTGATGCTCTTACAAACTTGCTAGTTGTAAATTATGCACACAGAACAGTTGCTTCTTTCAAGCTACTTACTTTCGATGACAAACCCCTTCAGTAATGTTCGAGAGACCTTATGTATAATGGTAAAGATCACAGACTTTGTATTTCACAATCCTGGTCTCAAAGATTGACTTTTCCACTTACCAGCTGCTCATATTTCACATATTCCATTTTTAATCTTTAAAACTGGAATACTAATAATATCCAGCTCAAAACATTGTTGTAAGAATTCATCAGGATTTCTTGAGATACTTGGACAATAGGAGTCACTGAAATACATTTATAAATATTTTATTATAATATTTATAATATTATAATTTTAATATTCATAATATTATAATTTATAATATTATATTTATAATATTATAACTGGAGCGATAGCACAGCGGGTAGGGCGTTCGCCTTACAAGCGGCCAACATGGCCGACCCGAGTTCGATTCCTCCGCCCCTCTCGGAGAGCCCGGCAAGCTACCGAGAGTATTCGATATGCCAGACACAGTAACAACAAAGTCTCCAATGGAGACGTTACTGGGCCCGCTCGAGCAAATCGACGATCAACGGGAGGGCCTTTACCTTTTACCTAATATTATAATTTATTGTATTTATAATATTATAATAAAATATTTATAATATTATAAATGCACGGCAGAGCCTGGCAAGCTCCCCGTGACGTATTCGATATACCAAACACAGTAACAACAAAGTCTCCAATGGAGACGTTACTGGGCCCGCTCGAGCAAATAGATGATCAACAGGAGGGCCTTTACTTTACTTTACTTTACTTTACTTTACTATTATAAATAATGGGTATAACTTTGAAAGAAATAAAATCAGAGTTTTTTAAGGGTATAAAAATTATTATTTTGTTTCATTGGGGGATGCATCCTGAATCAAGGGGACTCTTGATTCTGTGCTTCAGGGTAGATCTCAGTGCTGCTTGGGGACCCTAATGTACTGGGAACTAAACCCACAATAAAAGCACATAGTCCACCCTTTCGAGCTTTCTCCCTGCCCCCTATTTTGTTGATTTTAAAGAGACAGTTCTTCAACACTACAGCAGAATCCATTGTCTTATGTATCTCATTGTAAACCTCTTAACATCTTGGTATCAGCTTTCATATTTGACTTTTAATAATCCTAGACTCAGAGCAAACCTGTGCAGATGATGTACTTGCGTGAGAAGCTGAACATTGGCTACATAAGAGACCTAAAGACCCAGATTCTAGAACTCCCTTATGCTGGAGATGTCAGCATGTTTCTCTTGCTACCGGATAAAACAGGAGAGTCACCTACTGGCCTGGAGAAGGTAAGGCATTTTGATTTCAGTTATTTTAAATCTGGGACACACTCTACTTTTCTTGGTGGACAGACATGTCTATAACTTAAGACATGATGGGAACTTTCAACTGGTTGATAATAAACTTGGCCAAACTCAAGACTTTATTCAAAATTCTCAACATATATCCTGCATGCAGCCTTCTTACACACATGTTGTTAATGGATTGCATTTCCATTCTACCCACCATAAAGTCAAGTTAATGACTCTCAACATTAGGGTTAAATGTTGTGGTCTTCCTTTGCTTCCTTTGCTCATGTTCTGCTATATCTTTATTTTTGACATTATAGTTGGAAAGTGAAATAACTTTCGACAAATTCAACAAGTGGACCAGCAAAAGCACAATGGAAGAAGATGATGTTGAGGTGTACGTCCCTAAGTTCCGACTGGAAGAGAGTTATGAACTCAAACCCATTCTGAGGAGCCTGGGCATGAAGGATGCCTTTACCAAGGGCCAGGCCAATTTCTCAGGGATGTCAGAAGGATATGAGCTATATCTGTCTGAAGTGTTCCACAAAGCCATCGTGGATGTTAACGAGGAGGGCACTGAAGCAGCTGGTGGCACTGGTGGAGTTATGACAGGAAGAACAGGCCATGGAGGACCACAGTTTGTGGCAGACCACCCTTTCCTCTTCGTTATCATGCACAAGACAACCAAGAGCATCCTCTTTTGGGGTAGATTTGCCTCACCCTAGAGTGGAAAGGCCTGTTTTTGCATAAAGTTTCTAGTCCAAGTTATAAGCTTCAGTCATGATAGGCCAAATATTTGTCGGTATTTTCTACAAATTTCTGTTTGTTTTTTTCTGAACAACTTTTGTTTCAAACTAATATAAATATAGATATAGGTAGGTAGTTGTCACTGTTGCATTAAGACTATTAATTATATGATCCCCCAATAATACTATGACCAATTTAGTTTTTCTATATTACTAGTTTGTCTTATTGGATACACTTTTACTGCTTTATTTATTATTTTATATAATATTTAACTCTTTCTTTGCTGTATTTTAATGTAACTATAAAAGTTGTAGAATCAAGAGATTATTATTTTTCTATCTATAGAGATGCATTTACTTATTCTAATAATGAAAGATGAGGTTTCTTTCCAGGCCTTTGATAATAAACACCTAGAAGAAAACATTGAGCAACAGGCATATATATATATGTATATATATGTAGTACATATAATAAGTACATTTGTAGCATTATGTATCAAATAAAATAAATAAATGTGCTTCAATTAAAAACATGTTTGTTATCTTTTCCTTAAGTCTTTAGATCGTAAATGTAGGCATGACGTGTCCTGGTTCCCAGGCATCTTGGTTCTACTTGTGGAATCCTCTTTCCAAATAAAGGAGCAAAGGGAATTATCCGCTCTATTCCATAGTTGTTAAATAATGGTTCAGAGATACTTTCTTATTGCAGCAAGAGACCTAGAAATTCAGACGAACCATATGAGACAGAGTTCTATGGGGACACCATGATTAAACGTTGAGAACTTTAGAAATAAACACTTAGTTCTGTCCAGTGGTCCAGAATCAAGAAAGGACAAAAGTGCTGAGTCCAGAGGCGTGGAGATGCAATATTTGCAAGGGTTGGTGAGGAAAGATGAGATCACTTCTGTTAGACATCAAAAACAAATAGTTCTGAAAATTTTTGAGTGGAATAGGGCAGAGAAGAACATAATTTATGTCCTGACTACAGAGGCAGATATGAAATTGTGCAGAGAGTGTGGGGAAGGGGAAGGGGTTCTGAGGTAATTGCAGAGTCTGGATGTGGAAGTGTGGCTGTATTCTAGGAAATGTGCCCCGGTTATTACACTCCCTTTGATGAGAGGTAGACATAGACTAATTGGAACAAGGTACTAAGGAGGATAATCAAGACCTTGTTCTAATAATTCCAACAGTTAAAACTCATCTCAATATAGGCCAGGAGTGGGAGCCTTTGAGCTCCAGGTATCTTTTGTTGTAAGCAAAAGGAAACAATGCTGTCCTAAAGTTGCTATGATGGTTACATGAATTCATACCTAGCTAACAGTTAAAGACTCTTTAGCATATATTTTATGAATAATATTAGTGATTATGCTATTACCTAAGTCAATGACAAAACATTTTTATGTCAAATGCTCAATCTAGAATCCCAGAAAATTAACTCGGTTAATTTTTAAGTTTCGAATTGTAGTTCGTTTACTTTAATCAGATATTCTTGAAAAGGAGGGAATCTCACTTTCACATTCTACTACTTTTAACTTTATATTCATATGTATTTTAATAAATGATTCAGCCAAGTGACATATAGCATTTTCAAAATCATTACAATTTTTAAAATATCCACATTGTATTTTCATTATTGAGCTAGAATCTGTATATAGACTCATATATTCAAAACACTTTTGCGCACTTTCAAGGTTCAACTTGATTATATCTGGAGCCAATGTTGCTCTTTGCTGCAGGTGAGCAGAGTTTTTCTCCATCTGGAAACTTGTCTCTTGCTCTATCCTGGGAAACTTTCAAACACTTCTATGAGCAGAACGTTGTGTGCCCTCCCCATTATGTTGAAAAATGTTGAAACTCTTATCCCCATTATAACTATACTTAGTGATGGGTTCTTAGGGAGATAATTAGGCTGAGATTGGGTCATAGAGGTACAATCCTCATGATGTAATCCATACCCTTACATGAACATGAAAGGATCAGTTTTCTTCCCACCAAGCTCTGAGTCAGGAATAGGTTTTCCCCAAGAGCCCAGCCTTACTCTCACCCTTGTTCCAGACTTGTAGCCTCAAGAACTGTGAATAAAAGAAACAGTGTTTTTGCAAGCCTCCTACTCTTTGGTAATTTGTTATAGTAGCTCGAACTGAACAATCTACTCAGACCCCTCTACCTTGCTCTAATTTTTGCTTTGAACTCTCTCATCATATTATACTACACAGGTGTTTCTGAATTTATTCTCAATTTCAAGATATTTTTCAGTGTTCTATGAATTCATATGGCCCAAATTTCCATCAAAAATAAAAGGCTAGAACAAAAATCTCTCTTCCCTCTTCCTTCATCCCCCTAGAATTGTAAGTGGACAATATAAGTTGTGCAAAAGATAGGTCAATTTAGGGTTGACCTAAGTTAGATTATGACCGCTCTCTCTTCTCATGCTCATCCGTCCTCCAACAAACATCAAACGAATTCACAGCTGTGATTCACTGACATAGACAAAATGCTTAAAAGCAAGACTTTTTATCAAGAAGCAATGGGACTCTGGAGAAGATTCAAAGGTGAAGTGAATACAATGTGGTTGGTAGGTGCCAAAATGATGAAATCATGTCTTGGCTGGTTCAGTAGAATTTGCACTGAGACAATGACCTTAGCAAGTAACGAGAGCATCTTGATGCTGCACAGGGCTATGGCCCAGGTAACTCTGATGATCTGCAGCCAATCAGGATGACCAGCACTTCCTCCTAGAGCGTGAATAGGAAGGATTCTTTCAGCTCATCACAGTCTTGGAAGCAACTAATGGATCATCTTATTGCTTATCTGCTTAGCACACATCACTGCCTGGCATCACAAAATTTATCACCCCAAGTCACATTCCCTAGTGAAGGTCCAGAAAAAAAATTCTGCTCTATATTCCACATCAACATTCAATATGAAACTCTGGGCTAGTTCATCAGCTATGTGTGGCCCCATGAAGAGAAAAATATGAAAGAAAACTTCATGAAGAAAAGTATACCAAATATACCAAAAATACACCAAATATTTTATAAGTGGAGAGATTGCTTACTTTTAATGCCTTCTAGATTGTTCCTCCATACTCATTTCTTTTTTCACTTACCATTCTCCAAGCCCATGTATATGGCAATAGAAGATGAAATCTGTTATTTTCCTTTTCTAAAAAATAGGTAAGCACAAAGCAACATTCATAGAGAGAGAAACCAAAAGTGATCCCCAAAATGAGGAGTTCTTAATATCGTAAAAACACTGATCCAGATCCCCAGACTGGAGACAAGGGTGAAGAGAACTGACATTCAGACTTAGCAGTTACTTTTGTGACTCTGCACCCAACTCCAAATGAGAAGAGTTATTTTACGTTGTTTAACACAATGAATGCTTCACCAGTAGCAGTTTTCATTTTATTGCCTATTCTTATTTATTTATTTGAAGTTTTCCGTTTTATAAATAAAATCTGCAGAGGTAGATCAATAAAAAAGATCTTTAATTGCTACCAGTTGGCAGACAGAGGAGAGATTAAGCAAAGGAAGTGTGAGTTACAATTTGTCATAATTCAGGTCTCTACTTGCTAACAAGACATAGGATATGCAGCTAATTAAACAAACCAGGGCAAACCTTCATCATCTTACTCTGCATCTTGAGTTTCTGGCCAAGATAAACCAGGAGGAGAGTGTGGACATGTTAATGTCAATCAAAGGGTGGTGCAAAGAAAAGGGCGGGGCTTAAATTTTTTTTCTTTTCTACTGTTGAAGGTTACTTAACTCAGCCACAATCTCTTTCTAAAGGAACGAATTGCCAATTTTGCACCAGTGGAAGAAAACAAGGTATTGTGAACATTTCTTTGTTTAAAAACATTTATTTATGATTTTCCTCCTTATTAAAGTGTCTAATTAAATCAAAATTATCAAAATTCTTTCTCCTAAAAAAATACCCACCCAAAAGTTATAGGTAAAGCCTCTCTCTCCAGTAATTCTGCACAATTTAGATAGAAAGCCAGAGAAATTGTTTTGTGGGACTTTGAATGAAATTTCCCCTAGTCATGCTTTGGGATTTGTTCTACCTTTTTATGTCTACCTAGGCAAGAGAAACAGAATATTCTTGAAGTAACTTTCTGAGAAACTTATTTCTCAGAAAGTAATTCAAAGAATATCTCAGAATTTGAGCCCAAACATTTTGACCCTTTGAATCAGGGGCTTGACAATTTTGATTCTGGTTATTACTTAGTGAAATTAAAAGTTAGGTTTCAACCTCTCAGCCCCAGTCATGATCCTTCGAGAGAAATCACCTCATGAGCTGTGAGCTTTCTTTTCTCTGGTGTAAAAACCTAAGTTTCTAGTACCCTCACTATACGATTAGTTTGTATCATAAAACTCTTGGAAAAATAGCTTTAGTTACTGTAGAAGTTATTGTATTGTCCCTGTGCTTATTAATTTTATAACAGTATTAGCATTGGTGGATTTGATGCACACAGTTCCTATATCTCACAACTGTCAAAGTTTCCAACTTATTTTTACAAAATCTCTGACCAAAATTTTGTATCTTTCTTCAAGTTTTCCACTATTGAGTTAAATCTCACTAACATCACTCTCAGCACTTTCAAACATTTCTTTAAAAATTAGATGGCAGGTATCTGAGGAGGCAATGCAGTACAAGAGCATACACCTTACATGTTTGAGGTCCTGAGTTTGATCCCTGGTACCAAGATATTATTAGATATATAAAAATAAATAAAACATAAGAAGTTTTTTCTTTACTGTTCTGAATTATACTTGATATCTTAATTAGAGAATCAACACATCTGAAATTATTAGATTTAAATCCCCTCAAGAAATAGTCCTCTTTCATCAGAGAAAATTATTGTTTCAGGAATTTGTAGCATAATCTCTAGAATAATCATAAACTATAAGAAATAAGGTAAAAAATAAGAAATAGATAAAAATATCAGACCATAATATATCATTTTCTTCCCCCTGGTAAGTATGTCTTAGCATGGAGGTAAACATTTGCCTTATTAATGTAATCCATAAATTCTGAAAATACATAATTCATTGATAGGTGGTAATGGAAGGGTATGTCACTTGAAAAATGGGCCAAGACAGAAACAGGGAGGGAACTTTTGACATGCAATTGAATCTGCTGAGAAAAGAAAAATAATCACAGGCAGGTTCTGAACATTCTATGAGGGTGTAGAATTATGACAATGTAAGAGTTGCTATTTTTTTCTTTAATCAAATAAAGTTAGCCTAGGATTATCATCAGTTTCTGAGCTCAACTAGACCATCATTTAAAGATTGATGAGTTGTTTGGTTAGGTGAAAACTTGTGGCAAGAAGGGATTTTCATAGTATCACTTTTAATCCAAGCCATAATCAAAACAAAATTGTCTACACTTGCCTCTCCCTGAGTCAACTATTTTAGCCTCTCCCTGGATTCAATTATTTGACAGAGAGAACGCCTATCTTTTTAACATTCATTGTCTAGGTGTCTCAGAGGGTGAAATAAAGTTAATGCAAGATTTAGTTCTCTAGAATATTGGCATTGTGGGAGGTTTCAAACCTAAAATTTAATTTATTTTTGATCATTTAAGCAGTTCAAGATATTATTTGGTATACAATGACAATGGATTAAACAAGCTATTTTTTTTTTTGTATAAGAAAACTAGCTTTAGAAGGTCTCCAGTATGTGAAAGTAAAAGCCAAAGACATTGGCTTCTCTACTTCTTCATAAGCATTCTCTAAACCATATTATTTCAAGATTTAATAAATACAACAGAATGTCTGGATCCCAAATAATGAACATTGTAAAAGAATGATAAATGGTGCTTGCAAATATTCCTTTTGTACAAAGTTCTGAGCTTAATGATGTTTGATGTAGAACGCCGAATAAGAAAGTTGTGTTCTCAAGGAAACTACCGTGGAATTGGAAGGATATAAACGGAAGAAATAGAAGTCACTTTGTGGTAGGTGTTAAATAAGCATCTAGAGCTCTGTTGTGGACTCTCCATGGCAGACAGGCCCCTGTTCACTCTGAAGGCCAAGAAAAGCTCCCAAGGTAAAGAGGAACAGAACAGAGTAGGATTTCTCTAAAGGAGGAAAAAGGCATTCCAGGAATCAAGAACATATTAAACATGCGAATGAATCAATAACATTAAAAAATTAAAATATAGGTGATAGATAAGCAAAAAAAAAAGTTCACAGTTGGAAGGATTCATGGGTATTTCTCATTAACTGTGTGAAGTCAAGAATAATCTCTTCCTTTGTTGAAAGGAGCCCTGGACTGAGAGAGTGAGTGGCTCGCTTGGACTGAGACAGGGAGAGGTTCTGACTTTCTCACCAAGTGTTTCCAACAGGATCTGATATTACCAAAAGTGCATTAGTACTAAAACTTGAGGCAGTTCTCTCTTCTCATATGTAAAATAACAATGTTGGAACAGACTTTTCTTGAATTTTACTCAATTATTATGAATATATATGCTTATGTGTAAGTACACTATTAAATATGAAAGTATAATTATATGTGGGAAATAGATATAGCTGCATAAACATTGATAGCAAAATTATGCAGAGTGATTTTACAAAGTTAATTGTGTAAGCTAACAGTTACTTGTGTAAAACTGCAATAAATGGAAAACATTAGTTTTTAAATGTTTTTGTTGGGGCTGGAGCAATAGCACAGCGGGTAGGGTGTTTGCCTTGCATCCAGCCAACCCAGGTTTGATCCCCAGCATCCCATATGGTCCCCTGAGCACTGCCAGGAGTAATTCCTGAGTGCAGAGCCAGGAATAAGCCCTGAGCATCTCCAAGTGTGACCCAAAAAAGGTAAAATAAATATATAAATAAATAAATAAAAATAACAATAACTGTGTTTGTTTTTTGGGCCATCCACAGTGGTGTTCAGGGCTTTCTGCTATCTCTATGCTTAGGGGGCTGTCTATGGTACTGGGGATAGAACCAAGGTTGGCCATGTTCAAGGCAAGTACCTTATCCACTGTACTCCAGCCCCAGAAAATATTATTAATATGATCTCTGTCTGTGTTTCATTTTCCTTAGGTTTTCCCAATGGACTCCCTAGCAAAATCAATCAACCAATTTGCCCTGGAGTTTAGCAAAAAACTGGCTGAAGATGATGAGGGTAAAAATATCTTCTTCTCCCCCTGGGGCATCTCAACCACCTTGGCCATGGTCTATTTGGGCACCAAAGGTACCACTGCAACCCAGATGGCCCAGGTGAGTGGTGAAGGTCAATGTCTTTTGTGGTTTTAAGTATGTCCTCTGGCAACATCAATAGACGATGAGGTGACAGAGTTTGATTCGACATCAAAAAATAGGTTTACATGTATTGCTGAGATATTTCAAGAAGCAGTAGCTCAAATTTTAGAGAACAAAGACATCTTTCTAAGCCCAGAAAATTTTTCTTGAAGGAATAAATAGAAAAATCAAGTGTTTCTTTATGATCCTTGTAGTTTATTTGGCTGTTTCTTTTTTCCTTTCTTTCTTTCTTCTTCTTCTTCTTCTTCTTCTTCTTCTTCTTCTTCTTCTTCTTCTTCTTCTTCTTCTTCCTTCTTCTTCTTCTTCTTCTTCTTCTTCTTCTTCTTCTTCTTCTTCTTCTTCTTCTTCTTCTTCTTCTTTTTTGTAAATTCATGCTTGTCTGAATAAATCTACAGAGTACACTAAAAAGGTTAAACAGTATTGCTGTATAAATGATTTTTGATTTGCCTGGAGCACACTCAAAACATAGTGCATGGATAGTAATAGACAACAAAATACATAATAATGTAACTATAAGTAAGCATGTGTGCAAGCATAAATTTGTATATGTATTTTTTTATAAGTATACACTTTTAAAGGACAAGTGACAAAATTTCTGTACAACAGGGGACTTTCAATACCAAGTGTGGTTAAAAGTGCCAGCCAGTAATTTTCTGTGAGCTAGGCAAAGTATGTATTCTACAGTTTGAGCCTAGAGTTTTGTTTTTATTCTTGTAGGTTATGGAATACTGTGTAGTTAAAAACAAGAATAAAATAAATCCCAGTTTACAACTAGTTAAAAATATTTTATTACTTTAAGGCTTAATTACAGATTGGTAGACTTCATCTTAGATGAATTCCAACTTCCATCTCATACAAATGTGTTTCTAGGTGTTACTTGCTCTCTTTTAGTTCATGTTAATTAAGTGCTGACAGCTTCCAGATGAAATTAAAAGTAAGGATTTGGTCCTCAATGCCAGCTTCCAGTGCAGATGGTATCTGCTATCAGCCTGGGCCAGCGCAGCCCATTGGTAAGGGAGTCCTCTTCATGGTGGGCTGAGTCCAGGATGTGGCAGATGGTATCATTGCCTTGTTTTCTATTGTTGTGTAATTTAGGGGAAACATAGATATCTGCATCCTTCCTGGTAACTCTCAACTGAAATGTTGGGGGATCACAAAGAAACTATGCATATACGTCAAGCTCTAGCAAAGGGAGCTGAAATACCAACATAGAAAAAGCAGCAGTAATTCCCCACATTTCTCTAGAAACTTGGAACAATATCAGCTTTTGCTTAAAGTGCTAATGTTTGCAGTCGAATACTCGGACTTCTTTTCAAAACAACTACCGGTAAAAGTAGACATGAAAAATCAGAGAATTTGATCACAGAGTACATTACCAATATCACCCTAAAAACAGATAAAAGTATTAAATGAGGAGACTAACAACAGAAATTAGAATCTTAAAATTTATTTAAAGCAGGGCTGGAGAGATAGTAGAGCAAGTAAGGTACTTGCTTTTCATGCAGCCCATTCAACTTCTATCCATGGTACCCCATATGGTTCCCTGAGTCCTGCCAGGAGCAATTTCTGAGCACAGAGTCAGGAGTAAACACTCAGCACTGCTGGATGTGACCCCAAATGAAAAAAAGAAAGAACAAATGATTGAAAGGCAGTACCTGATTTACTATATTCAACTAATAAACCATTTAAATCAGAGTTCTCTTGCTTAATAAATGATACGTTCCATAGTTGTTAGACAGACAGGTATTTGCATATGTGAATTTCCTATGATTATGTCTGTTCTCTATAAAGTTCACTCATATTTTATTTTTATTAAAATGACAGGTGCTTCAATTTGATACAGATCAAGATGTCAAATCTTCTCCTGAAAATGAAAAGAAAAGAAAAATGGTATGCCTTACCTTCTAATTTTTGGTTTATTATTGAGAAATCCCTTTCAGCACATGTATTTTAGTGACTGATTTAAGCAACCGTTAATTGCTACTTTTTTTTGGAGCCATATTTAGATTATAGAAACATTTTAAAAAATACTTCTAAAGGATCCTATTGTTTATTTTATTCATCCTATTATTTCTTAATATATCCTGTTATCTTTCCCCTCCTTTTCTTCCCTCTCAAATCTATTCCACTTTGGAACTTGTTTTCTTCTGCAAAACAAATGTAAAAAAAATTGAGAATAATAATAACCTTTTTGCTTTTTTTTTCTTTTTGGAGACGCACTCAGCAGTGCTCAGGACTTACTCCTGGCTTTGCACTCAGGACTCATTCCTCGCGGGGTTCAGGGAACCATATAAAGAGCCAGGGATTGAATCAGGGATGGCTGAGTGTAAGGCTAGCAGCCTACTCACTGTAGGCTTTAAAGCCAGAATAGCTTTAGAGCTTTTACATGGCTCACATTAAAGAAAAGTGTTATCTGCCTTAGAATCAATAGCAATTTTTGTTTACAGTACACAAAATTCTTTTGTTCAGTTATGAGATTTTCACACAAGCATAACTCTTATTCAATGTTTTCATTTGCATAATCCTTTCTTTATAGGATTTCAACTCAGACCAGGTTGGAGAAATACATTTTGCCTTCCAGAAACTAATTTCAGAAATCAACAATCCCAGCAATGCCTACATTCTTAAAACAGCCAACGGAATCTATGGGGAGAAAACATACCCATTTCACAACGTGAGTGCAAACATAGCGCTTTAAGCTAACAGAAAGACAGAGCCACTTGAGACCAGTGAATAATCTCTTTGTTCATACCAGGGACAATCATAATACTGCAATGCAGAGTAGGTGCTAGTCATGGCAGTAGTAGTGTTTGCAGCAATTGTGGAGTTATTTTGATTTGTTTGCTTAAGGAAGGTAGGTTTCCAGGGAACACTGAGTGATTTTTTTTTTTTGAAAAGGTACAAAGTAAGCCAAACAAGTTTCTGAGTCTCTGGTTTAGATCAATACATATCCAATCATAAAGGAAGTTGGTAACAGGTTACAAGTAAGATCTGTGATCTGATTTTTGTTTATTTAAAGAAAGGAAGTTGTGACTTAAATGGTCTCTGCTTCACAGTAAATAGAACCTAGGAGACAGAATAACAGAGCAGGGTGGGTCCTAGGGACAGAGGTGGTATGCGGTTTTAGGAGTCAGACTAAAAAAGCTAATGAATGGCTAGTACAAGTCATTCCACATCATGACTTCAGAGGATCTAGGAGATTTTACATGGAGTAATATCAACCTCTTCCCTTTGATAGCTAAACCCCCAAGACTTCATCCTAAATTCTGACTTCTCAGGGTGATGCACCTTGAGCCAGGCCAAGAATTTTCTTCTCACAATTGCCTGTCATATCCCTTAGCACATCTTGGAAGAGAACACACAGATGTAGATACCCAGGGGCAAAGACAGGGAACATTCACAAGTACAGAGGACTAGCAGCATGCAATGACATTACCTTGTAGTTTCACGTTTCTCTTCCTTGACCATGTTTGGTGAATTCTGAGGATGTTAAGACATGGGCTTTTAATTCATATTTTAAAAGGCATAAACATCAGCCAGGTGGAGCCCAAAGACATTTTTGTTATGGTCAATCTCATAAACTCTTGATCGCTTCCTAGTTCTCTTGAGCTATGAGGGCACTGGGGAGTTAGAAAGACACAACTATAAAATGATACTTCTAACGTCTCCACAAACCCAGGAAGAGGGGACCAGTTTTTTCTCTCGGGTCACCCGATGAAATCTTTACCCATGCATTGACAGTGTCCCAAAGGCAGATAGATTTGCTTAGATTCTGGGGGGATTTGGCATCAACAGCGGGCACCTGCCACACCCATGGGCTGACTTTGGCTCTGATTCTGCTGCAGAAAGTCAAGAGCAAGTCCCAAAGCCTCTCGGCGGCTGGAATTCTTCTGGAACTCACAGTTAGAGCTTCTGCTTGATTCCACTCCCAATTCCCGGGCATGGGTGCCAACAGAAGGGACTTCAGAAGCTCTAGCACTTCAGGAGGCAGTGACGTCCTTCCGGGTTTGCAAAGTCCTTCCGGGTCTGGCACAGCCAGTCCAGGTCCAGCTTAGTTTAAAGGACTAAGGAATCCTCTCAGATGTGCTCAGGATTGAAGTGTGGAGGGAAGAGAGTAATGGGGTGGGTATTGACAAGTGTCCATCTATCCAGCTGGGTTTGCAAGAAGACTAGAAATGGCTTGATTTCTCAGTTTGGGGACAGCTCTGTGAAAAGGAATTTTTACTGTTATCTTTCAGAAATATTTGGAAGATATACAAACATATTTTGGTGCAAAACCACAGTCTGTGAACTTCGTGGAAGATTCTGACCAGATCAGAAAAGAAATCAACTCTTGGGTTGAAAGTCAGACGGAGGGTAAGCTTTTCCCAAGCATCATGGGATTATTTTGGTATTATCAGCATGACTTTTGTAAGTGAACTATGGAAACATTCTAAATGTGCAGACTTAAAAAAAAATCTATTAGAATTTAGTAGGCACACACATTTGCCACTATGTCTTATCTAAAACAGGCATGTTAGGCCACTCATTTTACCAAGTAGACAAATTACTACAAACAAATTACTACATCCACTCATTCCAAAGAGGGGTCAAAAGATTAAAAACCAGGAAAACTCAAAAAAAGGAAATGATAAATTCTGTTTTATCTATGGTTTCTTTTAAAAAATTGCTACCAATCCCATCAATTCACGGTACATTGAATGTTCTTGATCATCCAAGTACTTTTGAAAATAAGTCCATGCATTTGCTGGGATATGAGATACGTTGCAGTAACAACCACCCGAAAGGCTTTGGCTTAATGCCAAGATAAAAGTCTCTCATAAACTCTGTTCCAAAATGTTTAGAGGCCAGGTGGCTAAGTGAGCATTTAGATAATCCAAAGGAATCATGATTCTTGTCTTCAAATTTTCCTGAGATTCCCTTTTCACAATCACTTAACCCTCACTTGAGCTTTTTCTGCTTCTAGAAGTCTAACCAGGGCATCATGACAAATTTAAAGTTAGGGAAGCATTCACAATTCTATTACCCAATTACACCAATTCTTTATCCCTAGAAATTTACAAGGAATAGCATGTTTAAAGGTATCCATAGCAACATTGCATATAATATGAAAAATGGAAACAAAATACTTAACATCAGAATGGATTAATTCATCAAATATCAGTCACGATCACGATCACGATCACGACCATCCTGTTGTTCATCGATTGCCTCGAGCAGGCCCCAGTAACGTCTCCTTCGTCCTAGCCCTGAGATTTTTTTTATAAGTGCCATATTCAAGGCTCTTTCAGGATTAGGAGAATGAGACCCTTCATTGTTACTGGTATTTGGCATATTGGGTATACTACGGGGAGTTTGCCAGACTCTGCCATGTGGGCAGGTTACATTCAGTAGCCTGCCAGTTTGTCCAAAGTAGGAATGAGACAATAAGATGTTGCGCGTCAATGCAGTCAATAATTACTATTAGAACTGACAAAAAGAAAAGTTCTTTTAGAACCTTTATCTCTAAGTTCAAGATGATGCCTGCAATTGCTTCTTTGGAAATCAGCAGGAAGTAGGGGGGAAAAGCCCAATGGAAACAGCTTTTTTGAAGGGGAGAAATTTCATATTCATTTCTACTTGTCACGCCCCACTAGTCTAAACTTAGTTACGTGCTACACCTCTTCCTGCTGGGTGATAATTTGCCCCAGTTTTTTCCTGGACTTTTTTGCAATGACTGTTGTCTTAGATGTAAGCAAACAGGGATGGCTACACCCGACTTGCTTCAGGAAAGCCTGAAAAAAGCCAGTGTTCAGCAAAATAGTCACATGATCATTAAAATATGAACATTCTGTTTCTAAGAGGAAATTGAAGAACTCTTAGAGGCGGCTTAGCAGTCCTTTATAAAGCAAAGAATTAATAAGGAATATTTAAGAAGTAAGGAATCTGAGACATTAAAGAAATTGAGTCAAGGTCAGACAGCTTAAGGTTCATGAATAGAACTCAGTGAATTACATCTTTGCTACAAAGTACATGGAATTGTATTAAATCTACTAAACAGGTACACCCCGAATATACATTTGTATATCTTATATATTTGTATTATTTAATCATATATGGAATATACATGTCAAAAATTTACTTAGGGTCCCTCATCTTTCAAGTTCAGCATGCTTAAATGTATCCAGTGCTTCTCACACCTGTGGTTTCCTGGTGTATTCTCTGTCATGGGGATTGGATACACCCCCATCCCTGTCCCCAAACCAGAAATCTGAGATACTCTGCAATGTCAGTTTCCTTTCCTTTGTCTCTGTCTCGGTATTTATAAGTTAGTTTTCCCTTTACAATCTCTTCCTCTACTGTTTTCAACCCTTGTCATCCATTTATCTCTATCAAGACAATAACCTGTTCTGATATTGCTCTCTTCAAATCCAATGTCCATCCAAAGGCCCAAATGACCACACTAAAATATGAATCAGACCAGGGAGAACGTGTCACTCCTGTACTCAGAACCATTCATGGTGCCCTGTGACCTACAGAGTGAATTCAAGCTCCCTCAATTGACAAGTAAAACTCAGAACAATGGAGCCTGTCTGCCTCCTCCTTTTTAAGTTGTGATATTCCTGACTTCAGCTTAAGCCTTCTGTAGTCTAAGTGACTCAGGGCCTCCATGCTGTGTTACTCACTGCGGGTGCCTGGTTCACTGTACTCCCTCTATATGAGCACCTTGCCTGATCCTACTCCCCCCACCCCCCCACCCCCCCCACCCCACCCCCGTCACTTCCACTGGATAACTTCTCGGGCTTCCCTCAGGTCTCCAGGGAGTTGCAACTCCCTTTCTCAGATAAGAGCCTCATCTTGACTTCCATAGAACACTCTGGAAGCTATGAATTCAACATTGTTATTGAAATTAAATCTGACTCATGGGCTCCAGGACTACTACTGTGTTAGATTTCAGCTTTGAATTGATGACCCATAACAGGTGGCTTATCCCAGTTGTTCTGGGCACTCAGGTTTGTTGGAATGAATGGAGGAAGTTTGGTAGGTCTAAATTCTCAGTTCCTTTTTCACTGCAGTAGTGACTCAAAAGCCATGGTGAGGCAAGAGTGGTCGTGATACTTTCTCCTGAGTTGGAGTCACCCAAAACTAACTAATGTTTTCCACAAATAGGGATCCCTTGTCATTTACCTAAGGACTTGTACTAGTCTAAGTTTGCGTGAAGCATGACTATGATTGTATGGGCAAAGACATGTCCTAATGTCCAAGATAAATACAATGGAGTAGAAGGAAGACGAAGAGCAATGCTGGAGCTAACTCAGGTGTCTCAAACACATAGACAGCACCTGTTCTTGTCTGAAAGATAAGCAGGAGCCTTATAGGCAGGAGGGTTGGGGATATTGATCCACCACCTTCATGTCTCCCGGAAGTTTCAGAGCCTAAAGGGGAGCCATGACCTGAGGGCACTTGAGTCTGTGTTTTCAGATCTTGCCTTGCTTTGTCAGTGTAGACCAACTTAACCCTGGATACTCAATTGTTCTAATCATATATGACTCTGGATGGCTTGAAATGTGGTTAATCCAAGAGACAAATTCAAATTTTCACTTGAGCTACCATTAATTTAATAGGTCACGTGTAGTAACCTTCCAGAAGCCAGGAAGGCTTCCAGAGTAGACAACGAAAAATTGCACTTGTGCTGAACTGAACCAATAACAACTCAGGAAGGAAAGGATGTTTTTGCAATAGTGACTTCATAGTCAAGGTACAAGCCGGCCACCCTTTGAGAAATCTGTGCGTAGAGTTGAGGAGCGCAGCTAATAAGCTCCCACTGGGCCCAGCAGAATCTCTGAAGAAGTCTCGAGTTCTAGATCCCAATACTTCACTCCTTTGGCTGGGCCTCTGACTAACCAGAGAAGTAAAATTTTCCCTTGAGGGAGAGAATGGTTCTCCTTAATTTCGTTTACATCTTGGATACAAATACATGCAGTTTGAAGGATACTCAACATCCAAATAAAGAAATTAAGCTCTTTGGCATCTTTGCCTTCTCCATAGAACATGGAGCATCATAAAAAGAAGGCTGTTAGAACTCCTGGATACAATGGACTACCTGAAAGAGATTTTTTTTCTCTTATTCTCTCAAACAGAACTTTCTCCAGGTAGCCACCTGGACTGTTGATCCTATAAATGCCAAATTCACTCTGATGAGCTCAGTTCCTCTGTCGCCATTATTAATTTATTTCCTGGGTTTTTTTTTTTTTTTTGTCTTTGGTCTATGGGCTCCTTGAAAGTGGGGGAAGGAGGGTTTGGTGGTTGAAAGATAGTACAGGGATTCAGGTGTTTGCCTCACACGTGGATAATTCTGGTTTGGTTCCTGGCACCACATATGGCCCCCTGAGCTCTGCCAGGAGTGATCCCTGAGCACAGAGTCAGGAGTAAACCCTGAGACAACACTAGAAGTGGCTCATTCGGGGAGTTGAGGGCAGGGGGAGATGGGGAATCTAATTTTTAAATTCTTACAATACAACAATCTACAATTTTCTTGCATGTCAGGCATTTTAGTATCATATTAACAGGTGACCACCAGAACGTAATCTAAACCCTTCTCTTCCTATTTAAATACTTAAATTATCAAGGCGCTATGTGATTCTTTGGCCAGTAGGTGGCGCATAAACTCTCCAGGGAACACTAAGACATCCCTGGAGTTAGTCTGGTGTATATTTTGAAACTGGATTTTCCTTATTTTTCTTGCCCTGTTGCAACAAAACATTTTAAATGTCCTAGCATAGTTGTAGGTCCAGATTAAGTTCTTTAAAAGCAAATAATCCCACAAAATAAGACAATACAACTTAAGTCAACGTCATCAACTTCAAGTGGTAGTTTAAAATCAATTGAACTTCTGACTACAAAACCCAGCTCCTGGAAGAGAACAGCGCAGTCTCCTGCCCCCACGCCTGGCTGTCCTCGCTGGGGCCCCTTAAAGGAGGGCGGGTTGAGTTTCCCTCCCTGCCCCGAGCAGAGATCCGGCAGCCAAAGACCTCCACAATCAGCCACAACCATGCTGAGACCACTCTCCACACGCATGAAGGTACGGGCAGAGAAACAAAGGCATGCGGGTCCCGGGACTGGGATCGGGGCTGAGCATCCTCCACCCAGATCCTCCATCTTCCAGTAGGCGGGGGTCACACCCACCAACTGACCCCCAGCGTCGTGTAATACCATGAACGGCCAAGACTCAGAGACTACAAAACCCAGCTCTCGGCACCCGACATCTTATTATCTCATTCTTACTTTGGACAACCTGGCAGGCTACCAAATGTAACCTGCCCACACGGCAGAGTCTGGCAAACTCCCCGTGGCATACCCAATATGCCAAATACCAATAACAATGATGGGTCTCATTCTCTTAACCCTGAAAGAGCCTTGAATATGCACTTTTAAAAAAAATCAGGACTAGGACGAAGGAGAAGTTACTGGGGCCTGCTCAAGGCAATCGACGAACAACAGGATGATCCTGATCGTGATCGTGAACTTCTGACAGCAAGTAAATGTGCTAAAAGGTGGTCACTCATTCTCCACATTGTCATTCCTACCCAGGTTACCAGAAAGTCACGAGAAATGGGAAACCAAGATACTGGAGTTCCTGTCATCTCTCTTTTTTTTTTTAACTACATTTTCCCCACTAATTTTTCCATACCTAAATATTTTTAGAATGAAAATAAAAATGTTAAATATACATATAACCAACATGTTATCTTCAACTCCTAAAAAGTTTTCCTCGGTTCCATGTAATCCTTATTTTAACAATTAACTTGTAATATATAAAGGATTAGAAAACATCTGATTTTTTTATCCCATGCTCATGTGCTGAACACAGAAGGAACCATGTGATAAAAAGGGCTGCGACTTTCCTATTGAGGGCTAGTTAATCTATTCACACTTTCAAATGAGCATTATGCGTGTGACATTGTTATTAACTTATTATTTTGAACTTCTGCCCACCACCATTTTCTCCCTTTCTTTTATTAGCTCTGCTGATTGATAGTTTAATTTATTCTACTTTTTCTCTAATATTTGGAATATTAGAAAATTCTAATGGCCGTGCTTTTACATAAAACATATTACGTGTAAAAAAACTTTACATATAGTATGTGCTATAAACACACAGTGTATGTATATATATTATATATATATAACATATATGTAGCATAGATATAAATATCTGGGGTTAATCCAAGATTCTTTCCTTTAGAATAAAACATTTTTGACGACTGCTATCACACTTTTACCACTACACTTTCCTATTCTTGATCTTAGTCAAAAGGATTAGAAGTGATTACTACAGTTTTCTAATTCACTTTTCTGCTATCCTTTTTTTACTACTCTTCCCTACTACCTTTCATTGCATCATATTATTTCTGGTATTGTAGTTTCATGCTGTAAATGACTTTTTTTAAAAAAACTATATTGAGCCTTAATGACTCTACCTCTATAACTGGCTCCTATTTTGTCCGCCTCTGCCTGGTCTCTGCCTAGCGTCTCATGGGTCCTAACAATACTTGCTGCTTCATGGCTGGTCCATGCAGTATTCCAGTCTGCTTTGACGGGACACAACCTCTTTCTTTGAGTCTCCTCTGTGTCTATGTTTCCACACAATTTTCTCCCCTCCTTATTCAAATTTCCTTCCCTTAATAAGGACATGAACCATTGGTTTGGAGCACACCGTACAATCAGTATGATCTCATCTCAGTTATATTTACAAAGACCCTATTTTCAAGAAGACCACATTACAGAAATGAGGGGTTATGACAACAGACTTTTTCTTTTTGCTTTTTGGGTCACACCCGGCAATACACAGGGGTTATTCCTGATTCATGCACTCAGGAATTACTCCTGGCAGTGCTCGGGGGACCACAGGGGATGCTGGGAATCAAACCCGGGTCAGCCACATGCAAGGCAAAAGCCTTAACCGCTGTGCTATTGCTCCAGCTCTAAGACTTTTGGAGGGGCATAATTCAACCCCAAACAGTACTATTCTCACAAAAACACAAACTGAATATTTATTGAGGAAACAGCAAATAAATTCTGAACTGAGCACTGAGGGATGGTGTAAAAGAATTTTTTTTAGTGTCGAAATTATGGAAGACAAAGAATGAGCAACTGTCCCAAATTAAAGGGCATTCACAGGAAACAGCAATTACCAGCAGCTTGAGATCTTGTATTGATTTCTGGTTCAAAAATAAATTGGAATAATCAAGGCAATTTAAGCAGAGTCTGCTAATAGTATTATTCTATCAATGCCAAACTTTTGATTTGGATTATTGGTGGACATAAGAAGTTATCATAAAATAATATGATAATAACATATAATAATATAATTTTAATAAGAATGACATGCCACTAGAATGTAACTAGACCATTTGAAATCTGTCCTTTTACTCTTGCAGGTAAAATACCGAATCTCTTACCTGATGATGCTGTGGATTCTGCAACCAGAATGGTTCTGGTGAATGCCCTTTATTTTAAAGGACTTTGGGAACATCAATTCTCAGTCCAAGACACCACAGAGAAACCTTTCAGAATCAACAAGGTAAGATCTATTAAAATCATTCACATGACTGATAGAAAAAAACTTTCTGTTTTAAATTCACTCTTCTTTGTGAAGATATATATCTGCAGACAGGCACAGATCATTGAGCCAAAAGTTTCCAATCCCTTCCCACCTGGGAATTCTTTTATAATTTGCTTTCTCTGAAAAAGACTATGCACACCATTTATCACTCACTCTACTCTCCTTAGACAGAGTGGGTGGGGGACGTTACATTTATTTCCAAGTGAGAAATACAATGTGGCTATGCAGTGCAGGACCATGGTTAAGTTAGAAGTTCACGGCCACCAGACTCCTAAACACTTCACCACCTTCTGCTGAACCAATACTACCAAATGCCATCTTCTACCAAACTCACAGGCTTAGCAAGTAAAAGAAACAAAATGTTGCAGTGAATGCTTTAGCATCTCTCTGCGTTAGAAACAAGCGTCTTTTTGTAGTAGGGCAACCACCAAAGTACTCTACTTTTGCTTTTTTCGGAAGTTCATTTTATTAGAACATGCAGCACTGTCTTTCTTTTTTTGGACCGTTCTTCCACTTCTCATTACGTATTGCAGGTTTTTCCATGTCTTGTGGATCGATTGCTCAGTTCACTCTTTTGCTAAGGGATAGCTGTCCACATGCTATAGTTTGTCACTTTCTTCACCTTATTTTTTGAAGCACAGTGGTAGGGCGTTTGCCTTGCATGCAGCCAACTTGGCTGACCTGAGTTCGATTCCTGGCAAGCTACCGAGAATATCTCACCCACACAGCAAAGCCTGGCAAGCTCCCCGTGACGTATTTGATATGCCAAATAGAGCAACAACAAGTCTCACAATGGAGATGTTACTGGGCCCACTCGAGCAAATCGATAAACAACGGGAGGACAGTGCTACAGTGCTACAATTTTTTGAAGGTTGCTTCTGGAAAGGGTCAATTGTCAGGAAAGCTGCTATGGACACCTCTGTGTAAGATTTTGTATGATGTGAGGTTTTCACCCATTTGCATAAGTACTCAGGAGCACAGTTAGCTAATGCAGTAAGTAGAGTGTTGAATGTCCTAAGAAGCTGCTAGATCATTCTCCACAGTGGTTTTACTCGGCCCCCTAGTGGCAGGGAATGACAGCCTGTTATTCCACATCTGTCTGCAGTCTGTGTGCTCAATGCTTGGACTGGGAGTTGTGGTTCCAGAGTGATAGAACAGCGGGTAATGCTTTTGCCTTGCAAGCAGTCTGCCTGGGATCGATTTCCAGCATCTTCTATGGTCCCCTGAGCACCACCAGAAGTAATTCCTGAGGGTAGAGCCAGGAATAACCCCTGAGCATTGCCGATGTGATTCCAAAGGCCAAAAAATAATAAATAACACACACATGGTAGTGTTCTCATTGTTTCTTAACTGAAATTCCCTAATGATGTATGATTTTATTTATGGGAATATTTTATTTCCTTGTTTGCCTTCCCTTGGGCAGCTATATCTTGGTCCTTATCATTAGCCATTTTTTTATTAAAAAATGCATTGTTTGCTTTAATTATTATTCAGTTTTAAGGCTTCTTGGTAAATTTTGAATATCAGCTCATTTTCAGAGTTATTTTTCAAATATTATCTCTTAGTCTATTGCTGGTCTTGTCATTGTCTTAGTGAATCTCCATTTCATGGTACTATACCAAAATTTGCATAGAAAATACTCCATATTCTGCTTCTGAATCTTTGTCACTTGTAGAATTTGCACACCATATTAAACGCTTATCAACTCTAGCTTGTTGTGAGGTACAGAAAAACCAACAATCATATTAGAGAAACCAACTCACACATTGTTTTTTTTGTGCTGCACATATTTCTGGAAAGCAAGATCTGATAACCTGATCAGCAGATAGCAACGAATCACCAGTAGTCTGCCAGTGTCCTGATATACTCAGACTCAATGCTGATATTAAGTGATCTTGCAAACATTTCCTACAGACTTCAAGCAAACCAGTGCAAATGATGTCGATGAAAAAAAATCTTGAAGTTTTTCACATAGAAAAGCCACAAGCCACGGGCCTTCAACTTTACTACAAGAACCGGGACCTCAGCTTGCTCATACTACTGCCAGAAGATGTCGGTGGGCTGGATCAGGTAAAGACGGGAACCTGACTAATGGGAAGATGATTCCAGGGCTCCTCTACTCTGATGAAAAAGGACACATTTTTCGTGTTCCTTGATTTGATGTGCCTATTGCTCAGAATGGTTAAGTTATCTACAGACACCTCCAGTGTTATGTGGCCCCATAAGAGCCACAGCACGCGTGTGCGCACGCGCGCGCACACACACACACACACACACACACACATTATTTGTCTCTATCAAAATTGTATGGGTGAACAGACCGGCAGTGTACATCTTACTTCTTTCTCTGGTAGGACCTGCTTAATTGGAGATTAGAGTTTTTAATCACTTGCATTAATGTGAATTCAGATATACGTTTATCACTGTATCATTGTCATCCTGTTGTTTGTTGATTTACTTGAGTGGGTGCCAGTAATGTCTCTATTCGTCCCAGTCCTGAGATTTTTAGCAGCCTCTCCTTACTCATCTTTTCCCAATGATTGGAGGCTCTTTCAGGGTCAGGATAAAGAGACCTGTTATAGTAACTGGTTTTGGCATATCGAATATGCCACAGGGAGCTTGCCAGGCTCTGCTTGTGCAGGCAGGATACTCTTGGTAGCTTGCCAGGATCTCCAAGAGGCATATATATATATATATATATATATATATATATATATATATTTCTCTCTATGATTTGTTGCCTACTGTCTGAACTCCATCAAACATGGTGTGGTAATTATGGAAAATGGGTAGGAAGTGTCTTATGATGTGTCTGGAAAGCGGCCTGGAGGAGCATGGCTGCAGTTGGGTAATGGGGGTCGACGGTCAGGTCTGGGTCCCTTGGGGCAGGGAGGACTCTCGCCTGCCCTACTCTGGGGCACCCTGAGTGAAAACAGCCTGGGATGAAGTATGTTTAAAAAATAATATTTAAAATAGTGGAATTACCATGAGATACATAGCTACAAGGCTGTTTATGGTTGAGTTTCAGTCATACAGTGTCCCAACACCTGTCCCTCCCCCAGTGTACATTTCCCACCACCAATGTTCCCCATTTCCCTCCCACCATAGAGGAACTTTTCTTCTTCTGCTCTCTCTCACCTTTGGGGCATTATGGTTAGCAATACAGGTAATGAGAGGTTATTATGTTTGCTCCTTTGCCTAATTTCAGCATGCAGTTCTAATCCAGATTGATCATTTCTAACTATCTTTGTCATAGTGGTCCCTTCTCTATCCCAATTGATATGTTTTTATACTTTGTACTGACTTCTAAAACTTAAAAATGCCCACATTTTTTACAAACTTCACAATCTTCAGGAAAATAGTTTGTATCTTGACCAGCTACAAATTGTATTAGTTGAATCACATTCAATTAAGTCATAACTATGAAGTTAACTTACTAGTTTTCTGCCATGATTTTGGTAGATCAGGTTTCCAGTCAATGTCTGCACTGGGCATTGGTTTCTCACATAAGAGTGACCTGTCTTTCTTCATGTAGTGTTTCATTTCTAAGTGTGCCAGAATCTTTTTTTATTCTTAAGTTTTTATGACTTGATTTTGCATGTGTGAAGAATAGCTTTTTAAATTGTAGCATAAGGTTGGTGAAACTAGACAAGGTGGTAAAAATAACACCAAAGTTTTGACCCATGGGAGTTATACTTTTGTAAGACAAGCCTGTCTTTCTTTTCTTTTCTTTTCTTTTCTTTTCTTTTCTTTTCATTTCCTTTCTTTTCTTTACTTTTCATTTCTTTTCTTTTCTTTATAATGTAGGAGTACTGCTATTTATTCAGCCATTGATTAGGCTGATTGAATTGGGCATGAACTCCACCATTTTTTTTTCATTTTTAATAATTTTATTTATTGAACCACCATGAGAGCAGTTAAAAGCTTTCTGGTTTAAGTCTCGGTCATATAATGAAACACCTGTACCTTCACAAGTGCCCATTCTCCACAACCAAAAGCCCCAGTATACCCCCATCCCACATCCACACCCTACCTGTGGGCAGATGATTTCCACATTACTCTCTCTCTACTTTGATTACATTCAATATTTTAACACCAGACCCACCATTATTATTTGGAATTTTATCCCAACACTCAGATTTGCTGACAAGGCAACAGTGGACAATTTGTTTTCAATTGCTGGTTATGATTAACATATGATGTTGCGCGGCTGCAGTAGTGGCCAAGCAATTTAAAGCTAGAGCGATAGCACAACGGTAGGGCATTTACCTTACAAGTGGCCAACATGGCCGGCCCGAGTTTGATTCCTCTGCCCCTCTCGGAGAGCCCAGCAAGCTACCGAGAGTATCTCGCCCACACGGCAGAGCCTGGCAAGCTACCCGTGACGTATTCGATATGCCAAACACAGTAACAACAAGTCTCACGATGGAGACGTTACTGGGCCTGCCCGAGCAAATCGATGAACAACGGGAGGACCATGCTTAAATCTGGAGAGACTTCTGCCAAAACCTGCTGGGTTCCAAGATTTGTTCCAGAGTCTCTAAGATCATGGTGTTAAGCAGCTTGATCAGGGGCCAGAGAGGCCATTCGTGGGCAGCGAACAAGGGTCTTGTTGGGATGGGGAGGAAAGGGTTGGCTCCACCCCCATTCTGAAAGGCCCCGCGTGTCTCATCATTGAAGGGCCCAAACCTGACTGTCCAGTGGCCTCTGGAGGTTGGCGGCCACTGGGCCGCCAGTGGGAACAGATCCAGGTATGAAACCAATTCCCAGCTGGGATGGCCCAGAGCCAGTAACCTACTGCAGGGTCCATACACATTTCTGCCAAAAGCTGCGGGGTTCCAAGCTTTGTTTCTGAGTCTCTGGGATCATGGCTATTAAGCAGCTTGATCAGGAGCCAGAGGGGCCATTTGTGGGCGGCGACTTGGGTTCTTGTTGGGATGGGGAGGAAAGCGCCGGTTCCACTTCCATCCCATTAGGCCCCGCATGTCTTGTCACTGCGGGCCCAAACCTGACTGTCCAATGGCCTCTGGTGGATGGAGGGCACTGAACCGCCAAGATGGAGCAGGCGGAGGGGCAGCACCCTTTCCCCTTGGGGTGACCCGACGACAGTAACCTACTGCGCAGTCCGGACACATTTCTGCCAAAAGCCGCTGGGTTTCGAGATTTGTTTCTGAGTCTCTGGGATCATAGCCGTTAAGCAGCTTGATCAGGAGTCAGAGAAGCGTTTGTGGGTGGTGACTCGGGGTCTTGTTGGGGTGGAGAGGAAAGGGTCCTCTCCACCCCCATCCTGTGAGGCCCCACGTGTCTCGTCACTGAGGACCTGAACCTGACTGTCCAATGGCCTCTGGCAGATGGGTTGCCAAGGTGGAGCAGGCAGAGGGACAGCACCCTTTTCCTCCTGGGGTGGCCCAGCAACAGTAACCTATTGTGGGTTCCAGAAGCATTTCTGCCAAAAACCACTGGGTTCTGAGATTTGTTTCTGAGTTTCTGGGAATATGGCCATTAAGTGGCTTGATCAGGAGCAAGAGAGGCCATTTTTGGGCAGTGACTTGGGTCTTATTGGGAAGGGGAGAAAAGGGTCAGCTCCACTCTCATCCCGTGAGGCCCTGTGTGTCTCATCACTGTGGGCCCAAACCTGACTGTCCAGTGCCCTCTGGAGGATGGCAGCCACTGGGCTGCCAGGGGGAACAGGCCAAGGCATGAAACCTATTCCCACCTTGTGTGGCCCAGTCCCGGTAACCTACTGCAGGGACAGGACGCATTTCTGTCAAAAGCCACTGTGTTTCGAGATTTGTTTCTGAGTCTCTGGGATCATGGTGTTAAGCAGCTTGATCAGGAGCCAGAGAGGTTGTTCGTGGCTGGTGACTAGGGGTCTCATTGTTATGGGGAGGAAAGGGCTGGCTCCACCCCCATCCTGTGAGGCCCCACTTGTCTCATCACTGTGGGCCCAAACCTGACTGTCCAGTGTTCTCTGGAGAAAGACGGCCACTGGGCCGCCAGGGGGAATAGGCCAAGGCATGAAACCTATTCCCACCTGGGTGGCCTAGAGCCGGTAACCTATTGTGCGTTCTGAACGCATTTCTGCCAAAAGCCACTGGCTTTTGAGATTTATTTCTGAGTTTCTGGGATCATGATCAGGAGCCACAAAGGCCTTTAGTGGGTGGCAACTTGGGGAGTCTTTGGGATGGGGAGGAAAGGGCTGGTTCTACTCCCATCCCATGAGGCCCCACATTTCTCCTCACTAAAGGCCCAACCTGACTGTCCTGTAGCCTCTGGAGGATGATGGCCACTGGGTTGCCAGGGGGAACAGGCAAGCACAAAACCTATTCCCACCTGCGGTGGCCCAGCTCTAATAACCTACTGCCGGGTCCAGATGTATTTCTGCCAAAAGCTGTTGGGTTTCGAGATTTGTTTCTGAGTATTTGGGATCATGGCCATTAAGCAGTTCAATCAGGAACCAGAGATGCCATGCCTTCAATTATATAGCTGAGCTGGAGCTGGTTTGTGGGTGTGTCTCCCACAGACCTAACTTTTGGCCATTTACTTTCTTGGTAAACTTTGCCCCAAGTTTTTGGGTTCTGGTCAAAGGCACAGCAGCAACTTTGGGGTATCTGGAAGTCTGAAGGCGCCATCAGGCTGCTGATGCACTTGCCTCACAGGTACAGATTGACCTGCTGGCGGCACCATACCCCAAGCCTGTCTTTCAAGTAGTGTAGGTGGCTGAACCTTTAAAGGTACGATCATATTATTAATCTACATAATTTGCAAGACTCTTATTCATGGCATTATTTGCATGTAGAAATTCTTAAAGTAGCAAAAGCGTGTCCTTAAAAACATACTACCAAAAATCAAACTGTGGCTTTTTCCACACTGGAGAAGCCTGTGTTCTCATTTAATCATGCATTTCTCATTCTCTCCTCTGTAAGTAAATTTATGTAAATAAAAACTACTTTGATTCAAAAAATCAAACTTTTTTCTCTTATATACATATGCATATATGAAGATAATAAAAACATTTCTTATTATACAATTAAATTATAAAGAGGACAAAACACATTCAAAGCATTATATTCATTAATCTTAGTATTTAAGGGGTTTTATTTCCTTTTTATTCTTTTGCATCATTTGCATTTACTTACTTTCATCTTGCTGGGGATTACATAATACAGGCATTTTATTTTATATCTGTTCATTTTCCCCCAAGGAACTACATACCATGTTTTCAGAATGAATATTTTGGCCCACATCCGGTAGTTCTCTGGCTCAGTGCTCAGGGATCATCTCTGGTGGGCTCTGGGGACCATACAGGATGCTGGTGATGGAACCCAGATCAGCTGCCTTCAAGGCAAAGAAACACCCTGCCTGCTGTACTATCTCTCTGGCTCCAGAATGAATACTTTTGCATACACTCTGACATACAAGTTGTTCTAAGTATGCCTAGTTATATAAATCATTTCCAAATATTTGTATTGATGTATTTACATGCATAATTGCGTGTTTTTGTAGAAGTACGTCTATTCGGAAGCAGTGACAAACTCTTCCATATCCTAGAGACAATGAATCTGCAGAACAGTGACCTTGTAGGTCAGCAATGTGAGGAATCTCAGTACACAAGGAATTGTTCATGTGCATTTCTTGCGACTCTGGAGAGTGGGAGTGATCCTAATTTGTCTGTGCAATATCCAAAGGGTGCAGCCAACCAGTATTCTCACTCTGCTTTGCAATGCACTGACTCTTTCTTCCTCGGTCCCTACCCTGCAGCTGGAGAAGGCCATCACCTATGATCAGCTGAGTGAGTGGACCAGCGAAGACATGATGGAGATGTACACCGTCGAACTTCATCTTCCCAAGTTCAAGCTGGAACAGTCTTACGACCTCAAGACAACCTTAGCCAGTATGGGGATGAGTGACGCCTTTAACCAGAGCAAAGCTGATTTCTCAGGAATGTCCAAAGAAAGAAATTTATATCTATCCAATGTCTTCCACAAGTCTTTTGTGGAAATAAATGAACAAGGTACAGAGGCTGCAGCTGGCTCTGCGAGCGAGATTAGTGTGCGAATTAGACTCCCCACCATTGAAATCAATGCAGACCACCCATTTCTCTTCTTCATCAGGCACAACAAAACCAATAGTATTCTCTTTTATGGGAGGTTCTGCTCGCCTTAGAGCCCAGATCTATCTCATCAGACAAGACCATTTATAGTTTAAGCCATACTCATCAATTGAAAAAAAAAACCCCATAATTTAAAACAGTTAAAACCACAATAAAAAACAGTTGGTAGCCTTTTTCACATTTAAACATAAGCAAGTGGATATATATTGTTTTGCTTGTAGTGATTATATGTAAGTAGCCAGAGAACATGGAAAATTTAACTTTTATGCTTAAATTTCTTAATGTGATTTTTATTTATGTTTTAGAAATTACATTGCCCTTTGTGATACCAAGTGATGTTGTGGTTCCCTTGTATTACCATTGTCACTTAAAGTTCACACTCATTGCTTGATGAGAAAACAACTCTATAAAAAAAAGGCTATCGGGACAAACAAGAATTTTCCCAAGAATAATATTTTGATGGTTCATAAAGTACTAAAATTAGCCACTCTCCTTTTATATTTTAATAGTGGAAAATGAAAAAGCTACCAATGTCCAAACAAAATCTAGAATTTAGTAGCAATTTATTAATGTTGGCTTCTTAGTTTTAAAAGAATATATCCCAGTAATGTCAGATTATAAAATGTATTTGGCATTTACTAGAATTTTCCGTATGATTGTTTCAATTTTTGACATTTTAAATTTTTTCTGAAATAAAAATTTTACTAAAAATTTGGTTGTGTGTGGTAATTAATATTTTGAAGAAGTGTAAAATTGTTTCCCTAAAACAGTCATTTAAGCCAATGTTACCTCGATAATAGTATCTATGATTATGTATAAAACTTTAGGCACACTAAAATCATTGCTTTAAGAAATATGAACTACAACATTTCTAAAACATGTAAGTATTTATTGTCAGTTATAGAAAGATATTCTTAGTGATATAGTATCTCACTACAATTTGTTGGACTTTTTTAGGATTTCCTTCAAAAATGCTCAAACACTATTGCTTTGTGGTAGTTTTAGATTTTTTTCAATTGCTCATTCTTGGTCGCCTTTTCTGTATTCATCTACTAAAGAAAAGACTATCACAGACTTTTTTTTGGTCTCAAATCTTGATTTGATAATATACGATAAAAAAAAGTCTATGCTTTAACTTCAAGGACAGGAAATAGCATTATTTCAATGAAACCATTTTCTATCCATGTTAAAAATATGTCAAAAATAGCAACAGAAACTCCTGTATCTGTATACACGTTCCTGAAGGCATGTATCATTGTGGACTCAAAAGAAAAGAACTGAAGGTAGAAGAACCAAGTCAGAATTAAAGACAATTTCAACACCCATACCACAGGCTTATGATAAAAATATTAAGTATTATTTGTCTTTTATCAAATTTATTTTTGATTGAATCACTATGAGATACACAGTTACAAAGTTATTCGTGATTGGGTTTCAGTCATAGAATGTTCCAACACCCATCCCTTCACCAGTGCACATTGTCCAACCACCAATGTCCCCAGTTTCCCCTGCCATCTCCCCCAAGCCTGCCTCTGATTCCTCTCTCTCTCTCTCTCTTTCTCTCTCCCTCTCCTTATCTATCCCTTTAAGATAGATATCTTAAAGCACTCAGTTCTTTTACAGAATGATCATTTCCAACTATTATTGCACAGTGGTCCTTTCAAACATACCACCAGAAAAGAAAATAATACTCAATAGATCAGATTAGTAAAATTGATAAGGTTAGGTGTCATTCATCTAGAAAGTGTTCAACTGATACATCAGTTGATAGTTTGGACATGGGACCACACCTCTGAACTCAAGCAAAGTCCATGATCTAGAGTTAGGGACCTTATAATGGGGGGAAATGAATTCTAAGTGGTAGTTGGTATAAAGAATGATTGAAAAATACTTTACCATCATCTTGGAGATATTTGTGTGTCTCCATCAGTGAAGACGCTGTAAGTGGGGACACAACGCAGCCCAGAGGTCGCCACTGTGCCCTTAGTTCTTTTTTTTTTTTTTAATTTTCTTCCCTTTTTTTTTCTTTTTTTATTAGTGAAACACCATGAGGTACAGTTATAGGCTTACAAATTTTGTGCTTGGGTTTCAGTTATACAATGATCAAGTGCCCATCCCTCCACCAGTGCCCATCATCCATCACCAGGGGTCCCAGCATCCCCCCCCCTCATTCCCCCCATCCCATCCTGCCTCTGTGGCAGGGCATTCCCCCTTGTTCTCTCTCTTCTTTTGGGTACTGTGTTTTGCAAGAGAGGCATTGAGTGGCAATCATGTTTGGTCTATAGACTACTTTTAACATGCTTCTCCCACCCTGGGAGGGTCCTCACAACACCCTTCATTTGGTGCTCTCTTCTCTATCTGAGCTTCCTTTTCACCTAGAACGTGTGGCTGGCCTTCCATTCATGGAGCAAAATTCCTGGTACTAATCTCAGCCATTCCTGGGTGTTAGTCTCCCTTTTTGTTGCTTTATATTCCCCAGATGAATGCAAACTTTTAAAGCCCTTCTTCCGCAGTTCCTTCTGTTATTCCTGTATCTCTGCTTCCTTTAGGCGCTCCCTGCCTTCCTGTTAGTAGCTAGAGTTTACCTGTTATTCTCACTGGTCCAAGTACCCCATTTGTGTTTTCTGTCTCCTTCGTGGACCCGGTGGCCTGACTACCTGGTGTCTCTACACTAGGGAGGATGTGGAAGAGACTCGAGGCCTCAAATGAAGGCTGACCTAACCCACAGGTCAAGTGAAAGCAGCTGCTGATAAAAATGCTTGGCCATAATTTATCATTTAACACTGCAGGATATGATTGTAGTTGGTGGCCGGAATAACCACGCACTAAAGAGGCGCTAATGTTAGTATCCAGATAATATCAGGTCAGGTCAGAACCTTTTGTAAGTTCTTTGAAATACAACACCCCACCCCACACCTCACTGCACAGTGACGTTTTTCAAGAAGATGGGTGTTTTTGGTTTCTTTGGGGGGGGCATCCCCTGCAGTGCTCTGAGATCATGCAGCTTCAGGGGGCTGGACTTGAGGCTCTTGCATCAAAATGTGTGTGCCAACCCTTTGAGCTCTCCTCACCCAGGCTTTGTAAACCGACTTCCCCTGGATGCTCTAAGTTGGTATACAAGTTCTCTGTGGCATTTCTTTTTTAATTACTTGCATTCATTTATTGGGCAATAATCTATGCATTTAAGAAATATATTTTGGGTTTTCTAGATCAGTGTTTCTGAACTGGGGGGCTAATGCCGCCCTGTGGGTCTCCAGGATATTCCATTTTGCGAAAAATCATATTTATGGGGGCCATGATGTGAGAATAGGGGACTACTTGATAGGGCGCAGGTGGGCACAAGCAGGAAACAAAATTAGAATGGAGTTACGTTCAGGAAAGGGTTGAGAAACACTGAAGTAGATATTTACGTTATAACCACTACCATAGTTTACGAGTGGGTTGGTACTGAGAGGCATTACTTTGATGGGGGAATACTAATGAAGAAGGACAGAAACAGATCCTAGAGAGAAAATTTACAAAACAAAGAACAGTTCAAATAATATCCAAGAAGGCTTTGTGACTTTTGTTTTCAGTGGAATAAAGTGACCTGAGATATTAACAGAAACAAATTTGAATAAATATACGGAAGTATATAGGTACTCTGTTCCCAAAAGAATCGATCACAAGGTAATCAGGACAACTTTCAAGTTAAAGCAATAATTCTGTTCCACAAAGACTGTCGGAGGTCACCCGCAAGGAGATGCACTCTTATTTGGCTCCAAACTCCATCCCTTTAATGTTCTCAAGATGCAGACAGTGATTTTTATTGACAATTGTCCATCATGATTCAACCCCTCTCCCCTTCTGAACGAGGAACACTCTTCAGATGCCTTGTGACAATATTACTAATAAGGGTGTGGCTGTGTCCTGCTCAGAAAGGAGTCTGTCTGGACCCTGGCCTGGCTTCTTTGAGGAAGTTCCACCCACACAGAGAGCCTCCCTTGTTCCTCCTCTGTCAAACAGGAGTGTCAGGAGCAACTCAACCACCCCTCATCTCATGCCTCTTACCTGCAGTGTAACCCAGCTCTTATGCCACATTTGTTCCTTGGGATTTATTCCTGTGGGCAAGTGTTTTGACTTGACGCTGTCTCAGAATCATGACAGGCTGCCCGGTGTCTCCAGGGCAGAATGGGAGTGACGGGCCACGTTGGGAGCAGTCTGGCTGACAATACGGTCAGAATCTGAATGTAAGCACCATAAACACCGTGAGAACCCAGCTCGCTCTTGGCATTTATGGGAACTCTCCTGGGTGGGGTGTTTGCCATCCAGTACAGAACAAACATCTCTGTTTCCCCTGGGACAGGCGCAGCGTGTCTGGGTTCCACTCTCCTCTTGAACAAGCAGAAATCCCACTTGGAGATGCTAGTGGCCAGGACTGAGGTGGGGCAAAGAGGGGCTTTATCTGAAGGCTGCAAAGTCGAGAGAGAAGAGGGATGGGAAACACTGGGTCAAGGCTGAATCAAGAGTTGAGAAACAGCAGAGTCTTTATTAGCATTGGAGGAACATGAAAAATGAAATTTCAGAGAAGTCAGAAGATAAAATGATGAGAACACAAAAGGGAATGCCCTGCCACAGAGGCAGTGTGGGATGGGGGGGATGGGGGTGGGTGGGAGGGATACTGTCATCAGTGGTGGTGGAGAATGGGCACTGTTGGAGGGATGGGTACTCGGTCATTGTATAACTGAAACCCAAGCACAAAAATTTGTAAGTCTACAACTGTACCTCATGGTGTTTCACTAATAAAAATTAAAAAAAAATGATGAGAACAGGAGACGGAGTGATAGTACAGCAGGGAAGGCATTGGCCTTGCATAGATGCCCAGCATCTCATATGGTCCCCCGAGCAATGCCAGGAGTGATTCCTGAGTAAAGAGCCAGGAGTAACCCCTGAGCCCTCATTGGATGTGACCCAAAAAGCAAAAAAAAAAAAAATGATGAGAACACTTCTGATTCTGGAGGACAAACTTGCTAATGATTTAATGCTAACTTTCTGTGACTCTGGCTTCAAGGAGCTTTATAAAATATCGCTGGGTTTAGTCTCAAGAGTTCCTGACTTGATCTATCTTTTGGAGGTGC